CTTACTAACATTCATTTTGACAGTGATTTTGACCTATATGAAGAGAAAGTGAGTCAGAAGATTATGAGCTGTTATGTGAAGCACAGCAAGGAGGAGTTGCAATACTTTTGTAAGTGAGAACGTTTATTTTTTACATTAGTGAAGTCGTTTGTGAAAACGTTTATTTTTTCATTAGTGAGGTGAAGTGTTGGCGGCTTTATAAATATTTAAGGTTAAGTTGGTGTTTGTGTTTGTGTTGTAAAATATACATTAACGGTTTCGTAAAAGTGTCAAAACCGCTAAGTTGTGTACGGAGGCGCGCAGTGCCACAGTACACGACTTAGGTATACTAACTATAGCATATCATCCAAATGACATGGATGAATTTACTCCAAGATATTTGGTGTCAGAGATAAATGATTTCAACTATCTTCATGAAACGCGTAAAAAATAGAGACGGAACGAAAGAAGAAAGGGTTATGAATGCGGATGGCTTAAATAGGGAACTTGTTAAAAACGGTCTCGGAATATATGAAATGCCAGCAGATGAGGTACAAGAAACTCCACAGGAAGAAGTTCAGATACAACCAGACATGGAAGAAATAGTTCAGCAACAACAGCTAGAAGAGCCTGAAGGAAACGAACAAATCCCTCCTTTGGAAACTAACTTCACAGAACTAGATGAAGATTTGGAACAGCCGAAAAATCTTGACCCTCAACAAGTGTATGCGGGGAATATGGAATCTTTCCAAGAGTCTAAGAAAATTCGGCTGACATAGTAGAAGAATATCGAAAATGTTCGCCGACATACAAAAGACTCAACACAGATGAAAATATCCAGCATAGAATGGAAGTACTGAAAGATAATGTCACAAATACAAACAATCCTTTTTACTTACGAGCATATAACGTTCAATCTTTGGATGAACTCGGTGAAAATAAAAGGTTAAATTTCAACAAAACATATAGAAATGAAACATTGTTTAAAGTTCATTCAGAACCTACCAATATGGAAACAAACCTACTTTTGTTTCTGCAGACGATGGAACTACAATGAGATGGGGTCATAAAGCTAATCCGGATAGGTGGTTCATAAACTTACAACCACAATTCCAAGAAGTTGTAGACGCAATGGAAGTGAATGGTGAACCAGATGTAGCTGGTATTTTCAGCGCGCTTTAATGCCATTGAAAAGATATGAAAGATGCAGATATTTTGAACCAGTATGAAATGAACATGGCTGATGGAAAATATAACACCTGACGTTCTAGAACATTATTCTCAAAGAACTACACAGAACCATAAAGATGGTATATTTGGTGAAGAGTTTAGAAAGAAAGTTAGGGAGAGAAGAAGGAAGAGAACCTATTGTACATGACTTCGCAACGAAAGTTTACAAAATGTCATAAAAACTTACTTTGCAGACAATGAACGAGAAGGGATGAATATTTAAGAAAACTCAAATGGACAGTACCAAATGAAATGTTAGTAATTGAAAAACATGTTCCTTGACAAAATAAAAACCAACTACAGAAATAAATGACGCAAGACTGAAACATTGGGTAAAAGCTTTCCATTCAAAAAGATATTGTTGGTAACATGGAAAGAAAACAGAATGGCTACAAAAACATATATTTGGAAACGAGCTTATTCCATATGGACAAGCTCTGTTTGAAGAGCTTGAACCGGAAACTCAGGAAAGAGTCATGCAAACAATAAGCGAAGACTCAAATACAACTATGACAAAATCTTTCTAGGATATAGGTTTACCTGAGATGGGCGACCAGAGCCCAAAGGCAAAATGGACATGGGAAATTTACAACATACTAGGTGAACATGAGGCAAAGATTGCAACAACTTGAAGCAGAGGGCAGTTACCAAAAGCGACACCCAAAGAAGAAGAGTAGAACAAGTGAAAGTAGTGAAGAAGTAACTTCATCTAGTGAAAGTAGTGGCAATGAAGGAAAAAAAGAGTTAAAAACTCAGTCAGGAAGAAAGTAAAGCTTGGTCCGAGTGGGTTCTATTATGACACATAAATCCAACTATTCTATATTTTTACCCATATGAAATGTACGCCGCTCAGAATATAACGCCAACAGTTTTGGATGCCATGAACGGAAATGTTTCCGAATTGGTATAACGAATGCGACAATGCCATTAGAAGGTCAGAAATAGTTCCTGGAACTTACGAATATACAATGCTGTTTCTTATGAAACGTAGGTGAGTTTGGAGAAGGTTCTTCAACAACAGTAGATATTGCTTGTGACAGGTTTTCATATTATTTCTATTGACAACTCATTCTTATACGTGGAACAAGACATTGAAATAAAACCTTCTGCCAAGTTGTCTGACAAGAAAGGTTGCAATGGAATTTTCTATGTCGGATACCAATATGCTCCAGAAGTTTTCATGGGATATAAGATATATTCTAACTCTGACTTAGTTCAAACAGTAACATGGGCAAACTATGAATGGTTCGCTTTGAGAAACTCAGTACAACAAAGCTAGAGAACAAACAGACCAGTATGCAAATATTGAGAAATAAGAAGACTTGACCCTAACGTTTCCAGGAGTTTATGTTAACCTTTCTGGTTCAGATGGAACTGCTGCCACTAAAGTAAAACTGAAACTTAGAGTTCCTTTGTCATCTTTCCTCATCTTCAGGTATTTAAGATACTTGCCAAACTGGGCAGGAAAAATTTCTATTGAACTTACTCCAAGCAAAAATAACTTAGTCATTGCACCAACACAAGACCCATTTCACTCTTACAGACGTAAAGGGAACAAATCAAACGTCATTCGCCGAATTTTGCAAAGACAAAGTTGACTTAGACTTTGGTTTCTCAAACTTCAACAATGAAGTAAACTATTATTTCAATGCTGCTGGAACTGCTTGGGACCAGTTAAGTTCACATGCGAAAAATTTGAATGCAAGAGAATAGAAAGCAGACTTGCAGTCTATATGTTGGACCCAGATATTTCAAATGCTTTAGCTGCCAAATTATTGCAGTTCCACTTATGTTCCCTATACACCAAATATCTGTCAAGACTTTGCAGGTGAAGTTGGAAACCAAAGTGCTGACCCAGGTGCAAGAACAGATATTGCTTTAACAACTGCAATGAAACATGCAGATACTATGTTTTGTACTGTTCAGACGAACTATAAATGACTATTCTTGTTTCTACAACCCTGGTATTAAATATCAATATAAACATAGATGGCAAATATTATCCAAGAGAAGAATATTCTACAGTTGAGGATATGAGGTCATACAACTTGACATTAGATGCTATGAACTTTAACAACAACTTCACAACAACATTAACCCTGAAATGCAAAGTTCTATTATGCCATATGTGAAAGTATGGACTCATACAGGAGGTCAAAAAACTCAATATACAAATGGAGACCGTTCAAACTTTTGGCTTGGCATTCCATTTGCTGACTCAGAAGACTTTATGGGTGGTATTTCAACTGTTGGTATGTACAAATACAATATACTGGTGACAGAGACGGTCCAGATGAACTGAGAGCAAAGAAGTTTACAAAACCAATAGCACTTTTCACGGAAGATGCTCTTTTGAAGATTCGTTCGATGAAACCTGCTGGGGCTCCTCAGATTGGCATAACGACAGCTTCCATCGAGCAGATTTTGGCAGCAGGTCAGTAAGTTGTTCTTGAACTGACTTCTCTCCGTCAAATATTGACAGTACGCCAGTTTTGACATAATATTGTAAGATAAACTTACCTTTAGAAATATCTGTAAGTTTTGAAGTTATATTTTTGTCTGCTTCAAGAACTTTCACCATTTCAGTTATACCAACTTTCTTTGCTTTATGGAAATATTTAGGTTCAGCAAATATTGCTATTCTATAACATTTACCATTGTTTGTATAAAGAACTATTCTGTCAATGTATTTGTATTGTTTGTGTGTGTAAACTTTGTTCTGCTTCAATTCGAAGAGATACTCGAAATACGTCCATCTTTTTATTCTAAGTAAAATGTCATTTCCGAAAAATAGAAGCGTGAGTGTTTCAAAAGGTTTAATGGCGGTGGCAGATGTGAAGTTAAATTCACCAACTCAAACAAACAGTCAAAGTGTTATTGTCAATGTCAAAGACAGAGATGTTGAAGTGGGGAAACCATACGAAGACGAAGATGGTATAGCAATTGTTCCTGTAAAAGAACAACCAACATATCCTGAAGTTAGCAGAGACTTAAGTTCTGTTGCAGATATTCGAAACGACTACCAACAACTGAAAGACAAACTTCAAACTCAGGAGAAGATTTGTCAAGCTTTAGGTATAATGTTAAACTTGGTCGAACACAACCCTGTAAAAGTGAACTCATATGTCATTGCACCTCATGAAGTCTTGAAAGAACTATTGAAACTTTTGACAGAGGCAAGACGATATAAACATCAAAGAAATAGAACCCGACATTAGTTGCTGTGGTGTTTCATATAATGTCATTGACAAGATATACGTTATGAAAGGAGGTGAAACGTTGAACTTAAAGTATAGTTTCCCAGACGTCATAAAAATATTTGACGACCACAACATTTCATTAAAATTTATTTGCTAAGTAAATGGCAGAAGATATAATGGTTTATACTATTACGACTAAAACCCTGAGTCATATAATTCTATAACAACAAACTTACAAAGTCCTCAAGGACGGTATTGTAAACTAACTTTAAACACAATGACGACTAAAGCCTGTTTTGCTCTTTTGACACCAGAAGACTTTATTGTTGTGAATGGTAAAAAATACTCCTTTGAAGATACTTACTCAGATATACCACCAACAGGTTTTGTTGACTTATTTAATACTTTAAGTACGGGTGTAACATGTGCTGCAACTAGAGCAGGTTTCATTATGTTTGGATGTCCGACTGAGTTTACTATAAACGATATGAGCTATAAACAAAACTTATTTCTGGTTTTTACTACCAACAGTTTCCTATAACAGGAAAAGGTGTCATACAAGGAATGTCTATTCCATTGACATTAAGCACACCAATCTTATATATTGTTTCAAACTTAGGTTCAAAGTGTTATTCGAATGTCGACAGAAACTATTATGACCAAAAGATACTTATGCGTATAAACAATACTTTCTCTGCTGGTTTGCCTATTGTTCATTCGAATGCAGAATTTTCAACCTTAGTGAACTCAAACACTTTGGCAAGTATAACGTTGACATTAGTTGATGCAAACTTTGTTCCTGTAAAACTTTTATGTCCTATGTATTTGTCAATGACGGCAGAAAGTTTCGAATTGGAAGATGCAACTGGTGAAAGTATTGTATTACAAGAACAACTTCAACAACAAATAGCTCAAGAACAACAAATGCAACAAATGCAACAACAAAGTCAAGAATAAAAAAAATATTTTTTTTATTTTTATAAAAATGTACAGAATAGATGTTTCAGATTTTTATGACTTCCAAGCATTCAGAAATATGTGTCCATTTAGAGACTATAACAAAGCAGTCGAGAATTTGAAACGTTTAGTCATTTATGTTGACTCTGCCCCAGAATGTTATGTCATGAAAGAATGGGATGTTGTCTTTAACAAACCTAAAGCGACAATAGTTTCAGAACAAGAATGTAGACAGAAACTTAAGAAAATAAAAGTCGTACAAGTTGGCATGAAGATGTTAGATGCTTGGGATATCTTATTGTCAAAGTTAGAAGATTTTTCAGTTCGAGGTATAAAGTTCTATACACCTTCTCCAAACTTCTATTCTATCTTCACTGGATATAAATATGAACAAGTAGAATGGAAAGAAAATATTATAGAAGCTTGGTTAGACCATGTCAAAGAAATTATATGCAATGGAAACGAAAAGGTTTATGAGTATATCTTATGTTGGTTTGCAAACATCTTACAACATCCAAGTGCTAAGAATGAAACTGCTCTCATTATAATTGGAAAACAAGGAACTGGTAAGAACACATTCTTTACAGATATTTTGTGCAAACTATTAGAGGGCTATTCGAATCCGAATATGACAAACTTAGAAAACATCTGCGGTAAATTTAACTCTTCAATTGAGAATATGAAACTTATAGTTTGCAATGAACTTCAAAGTATAGATACAACAAAAGTTTTGAACTCAGATGCTTTGAAGAGTCTTATAACAGATAAAGTTGGAGTTGTTGAAAGAAATATAAAGACCAAAGAGTTTGTGAAAATGTTGCAAACTTCATTATGGTTTCAAACAATGCTGTTCCGATGAAGTTAGAAAGTTCTGACAGAAGATATGTAGTTGTCAGAACGTCAGATTCTCATATGCAAGATACAGAATATTTTGACGACTTAGCAGAAACTTTGACATCTGACTTTTACAACCACTTGTTCTCATATTTCATGACATTAGATATTTCAAAGTTCAATCCAAGACAAATTCCACATACCGAAGAGAGACAAACATTGTTAGAAGCAAACAAGAGTGTATATGAACTGTTCATAGATGAAACTGACTTTGAGTGTTTAGATGAAAGGTCATTGTACGATTCGTATAAACAATATTGTCAAGAATATGGTTATATGACAGCGTCTAAACGAACATTCTTGGCAAATGTCAAAAGTCTTTTAGACGTACAGAATGGTGTATATACAAAGAAAAATTTTTATGAGTAAATTTTAAAAAAAATATTTTTTTATCCGATAGAAAAGATGGCAAAATTCATCTCAGTAAACAAGTACATGTCAGGACTTAAAGAAGAACTAGACCCATTCACATATTTGAATGTTTACTTCTACCATTTTGAAAAGTCTTCATTCAGCAAAGTTTGGAACATCGAACCAGTTAAGTTTGCTATTGTGACTAAAAATGGTGCGAAATTTGAAGACTTAGACATAGAAGGTTTGTTAGCAGTCAAAGAAAGTTTTGACAGAAGGTTTTCAAACCTTAAAGAAGGCAAAGCATACAAACTTGTTATACCTTATGAACCAAAGAAAGCAGACGACTATGAATATTATGAGTCTAAGATAGTTGAAGTTCAAGGTAAATTGGGTAAAAAGATTTTAGAGTCTAAGCCAGTGTTTGCTCCTAAAGAGGAAGAGAACATTGACATTGACCCAGAAATGTTCTAAAAATAAAATTTTATTTTTACATGTCAAATTTCTTTTTCTCTGGAACTGGTTCAGGTTCTTTCTTCTCTTCTTCTTTTTTCTCTTTCTTTTCTTTCTTCTTCTTTTCTGGTGGAGTTATGTCAAATTTGGCGCAACTATATTTATGTAAAAGTTCTTTGTCCTTTAATAGCTCATCTATTCTGTTTTCTATTTCATCTTCAAGAACAGCGCATGTGTCTTCTTTGCATTCTAAGAACTTTTGTTGGACTTCATCTTTCCAATCGGTGTCATCTCTGTCAACAAGTCTGTCATTGACAAATTTTAAGACTGCTCTGCTTAATGTTTTATGGTTCTTGTCATATTCCCAGAAACAGAACTTTAGAACAAATTCACCTTTCTTGTTTACACTATGTAAGATTTTATGGTCGACAGATGTTTTGCTGTCGAAAAGCTTGTCTCGAATATAGATAGCGAAATCGCTAGACATTTTCTAAAAGATAAAAATTTTAATTTTTCTAAAAATATGTTAGAAAAAAAGTTTGCTGACATTGACAAGAAATTTGAGAATGCTTTAAACAAGAACAAGAGGAAGTTAGAAAATGCTCAGATAAAGCCTATACATGACAAGTTCTTATTTGCTCAGAATGGTATAACAGGTCTAATTGCACCACCTGGGTCTGGTAAGACTTTCACTTATCTTAAAATGGCTGCACAACAACAAGAACTAGATGAGAAGAACCCATTCTATGAGTTAGTAGTCATTTGTAGTACTTCTGGTCAATTTGACCAAACCGTCAATTCGTTCAAAGATATTATAAAGAAGTCTAAGTTAGTATGTATAAAGGATACTGAGTTGTTAGATTGGATAAAGAAGTACCAAAGAAGAGTTTTGAAGTATAATGCTATAAATGAGTATATAAATTCTAAGTTCAAAGACCCAAATGAGGAAATGCAGAGAATATTAGAGAAGAAACACTTCAGAAACAAACAGAAAGAGATAGAATACATTTCGAAGAAATTGCAATCTTACGATTGGAAGACATACCCTCATAGGTGTCTTCTTATCTTAGATGACTTTGCTTCTCATCCTTTGCTTAAGAATAGAGAACAAGATATGTGTCGAATTCTTAAGAAGCTCAGACACTTTAACATCTCAGTCGTAATATGTGTACAGACAGCAAAGAGTTTAAGTAAGGATGTAAAGAGAATACTTACTGACATTGTACTTTTCCCCGGATTGTCCGAAGACGATTTCATGGAACTTATGAAAGAGTCCATGGCAGGTAAGTTTGACAGACATGAACTATGGGAGAAGTACAAAGTCATACAAGACCCTCATACTTCTTTCAGAATTCATATCTACGCAAACAAAGTTCAAATTGTAAAAAGTCAAGCTTGAAAAATAAATGGTTCATCTACTCTACTTGTTTGAAGTTGTCAAAATACTCTGTTATTTTTCACTGTTTTCATGAGTTTTAGGCGACCCAGATAAAAGTCGGTCTCGCTGTTCTTCACTGTTTTCATAGAGTTTTGGCGACTAAGGTTTCTTACCTACTCGCTGTTCTTCACTGTTTTCATAGAGTTTTGGCGACTAAGTTTTTTTACGTACTCGCTGTTCTTCACTGTTTTCATAGAGTTTTGGCGACTAAGGTTTCTTACCTACTCGCTGTGCTTCACGATTTTCATAGAGTTTTGGCGACTAAGTTTTTTTACTTACTCGCTGTTCTTCACTGTTTTCGTACGGAATCTCTTCTCTCGGTTTTCCGAGGGAAGCAATCTTATGCCATTTTACTCAGATTTTTGTGCTGAATTCAGCAAAAATATATTTTAGGGTAGAAGGTTAGATCTAACCTGTTTTCTAACCTGTTTTCTACCCTCATGAATTTTCATGATTTCATCGTACATGTTTTGTCAAGACTTCTTCGTACATGTTTTGTCAAGACTTCTTCGTACATGTTTTGTCAAGACTTCTTCGTAAATGTTTTGTCAAGACTTCTTCATCGTAATGAGCGTATATGTTTTGTCAAGACTTCTTCGTAAATGTTTTGTCAAACATGAACGTATATGTTTTGTCAAGACTTCTTCATCGTAATGAGCGTAAATCAGACAAAAATAATGTTTAGGGTAGAAGGTTAGATCTAACCTCATTTCTACCCTCCTTTCTACCCCAGTTATTTTATAAGCGTTTTACATGGTAAACGTTATTTTTTAAATTTTGTGAAAACTCAACGGTTTGACACATGCCCTAAAAATTATTTTACTCAGAATTTTGTTGCTGAATTCAGCAAAAATAATGTTTAGGGTAGAAGGTTAGATCTAACCTGTTTTCTACCCTCTTTTCTACCCCAGTTATTTTATAAGCGTTTTACATGGTAAACGTTATGAATTCGTGAGACTTTAAACAGTTTTGTAGCCTCTATTTCTTCTTTTAGTACATCGAATGTTTTAACTATGCCGAAAGTCTCTTTATATTTCTTCTTGACATCAGATAGAAGGAAATCGTCAGCAGTTGGATAGTTTTTGTTCAGAAATTCTAACATGTCCATTTTATCTTCTGCTGGTTTTTCTGCTTCTTTCTTTAAGTCTGCATAGTCGTTTCTCATACGTTCTATCTCTTTGACGGAGTAGTTATATTTCCTCATTGCTGCTTTACATTTAGAACATTGCGGGTTCATTTTTGCGTTATATTCTGAAACCTTACCTGCTAAAACAACTAAAGCGTCAATTGCTCTCTTCATCTCAAACATAGCGGGTCTTATTTGTTTGTTCCATACTTTACTTCTTCTATCTTCATCTCTTATCTGCCATACACATTCAGCAACTAACGAAACAAAGTTGTCGTAGGTCTTAAATTCTTCAGATTTATATATGTCAGAAACATTCTTATATACCATGTCGCAATCTTTGTCCATAACCTTATGGTTGCAATGAAATCCTAGAAACTCATAGTTTACCTTTCGTATGAACTTCTTTATTTCTACTGAGTCAGTTGGTTTCACTTCTATTTCATCGAATTCAGGAATAGTGAGTTTTTGTTGTTGGATTTCAGGTAGTTTGGGTAAATGGTCGATGAGGTCCTGCATTTCATAAAGATACTGTTCATTTGTTTCATCTTTCGCACTACAGTCTAAATTACATGTTAAAAGTTCTTGCTTTATCTTCTGGATTTCTGTTTCAAAAGTATATGAAGAAGGAATGAAGCTTTTCATCTCTACTAACATTGACGTAGGATTCATGACTAACGAGTTTGGTGCTGTTGTTTGAATTGTTGTTGTGCCGATTGTTGACATTTTTATTTTTTATACAAAATAAAAAATAAAAAAAAATAAAACTAACTTTATTTTTTATTTCGGGAAAATTCATGAAAATTCAAGAGGTGAAAAAAGAGGTGAAAAAACAGGTGAGATCTCACTTCTTCACCTAAATTATATTTTTGGGTCCTTTACACTCATTACGAAGAAGTCTTGACAAAACATTTACGTTCATGTTTGACAAAACATTTACGAAGAAGTTTTGACAAAACATTTACGTTCATTACGATGAAGTTTGACAAAACATTTACGAAGAAGTTTTGACAAAACATTTACGATTGAGTCTTGACAAAACATTTACGTTCATGTTTGACAAAACATTTACGAAGAAGTCTTGACAAAACATTTACGCTCATTACGATGAAGAAGTCTTGACAAAGCATGTACGAAGAAGTTTTGACAAAACATTTACGATGAAATCATGACAAATCATTTACGCTCATTACGATGAAGAAGTCATGAAAATTCAAGAGGGTAGAAAACAGGTGAGAAAACAGGTTAGATCTAACCATCTACCCTAAACATTATTTTTGCTGAATTCAGCAACAAAATGAACGAGGTCAGGATGTATGTAAATACATTTGAATTCATTCATAACACCCTTAGTAAGCTCATAAAATGCTTGTTTTGAGGTCGAGCCACTTTTGGCTCCACCGTATTCTTTCAACCAAAACTCAAGAATTTCCTGCATGAATTTTGTATAAAAAGCAACCGTCGGAATTCAGACTGTTGCTATATCCTTCACAAAACATTTACGCTCATTACGATGAAGAGTCTTGACAAACATGTACGATGAAGTCATGACAAAACATATACGAAGAAGTCTTGACAAAACATTTACGATGAAATCATGACAAAACATTTACCCGACATTCTCGTCAAATACAAAAAAAATGACACTTTTTCATTAGATAACTGTTATTTTTTGACGAAGTGAAGGTTGACACTTCGTCAAAAAAATCCCTGAAATCATATCTTACATACAAAAAAATACAAAAAAATGACACTTTTTCATTAGATAACTGTTATTTTTTGACGAAGTGAAGGTTGACACTTCGTCAAAAAAATCCCTGAAATCATATCTTACATACAAAAAAATACAAAAAAATGACACTTTTTCATTAGATAACTGTTATTTTTTGACGAAGTGAAGGTTGACACTTCGTCAAAAAAATCCCTGAAATCATATCTTACATACAAAAAAATACAAAAAAATGACACTTTTTCATTAGATAACTGTTATTTTTTGACGAAGTGAAGGTTGACACTTCGTCAAAAAAATCCCTGAAATCATATCTTTTATACAAAAAAATACAAAAAATGACACTAACTTTATTTTCTGACTTTCACAAAAGACCAAAAATAAACGCTTTACATGTATTTTTCAGCAACTTCGTCAAATAATTTTATAGCTTTATCTATCTCATCTACTTCAAACGTTTCTTTACCTTTCGTGGGAGCACCATATATTTTCTCAAAAACTTCAAGCAGTTCTGTTTCAGCAGCTCTCATATCATTAACGAACACAACCTTGACTCTATTGACTGTAGAGTCATATCTTAGAGTTATATTATATGTTCTTCCTATCTTATATCTCTTTGTATTGAAGTCCTTCGGTTTCTGAACGATGTAAAGTAAGCCTTCACTGCAACGTTCCGTATCGAATGAACCATATGTTATGAAGTTATATCCAACAACTGGGTCTAACCATAACAAAACTATTGGTATAAGACTTTTGTCTATAAGATATGCTGTAGTTCCATAGAATCTTACCGATATTAAAAGCTCAGGATTTCTTGTCAAAATTTTCTGAGTAGAAGCAATTTTAACCCAGTCCTTCGGTCTCTTTCCAGATGGAGATAAAATGTCTGACAAAGAATATTTGTTGTATTTCTTTGAGTATCTTACGTTTAAATCACCTATTCTAACCACTTTGGTGTCATTGTCTATCTTTCTAACTGTTTCAAACTCAATGTTTGTCATATATGTTCTTACATACAAAATAAAAAAATAAATAAAAATAAAACTAACTTTATTTTTTCTATCTTAAGGAAACTCATGACAAATTCAAGAGGGTAGAAATGAGGGTAGAAAACAGGTTAGATCTAACCTTCTACCCTAAACATTATTTTTGGGTCCTTTACACTCATTACGAAGAAGTCTTGACAAAACATTTACGAAGAAGTCATGAAAATTCAAGAGGGTAGAAAACGTGTTAGAAAACATGTTAGATCTAACATGTTAACATAAATTATATTTTTGGTCCGGGAACAACTTTCTCTCAATTGGAGCTATGGCATACTCTTTGCGTAAACGGTTCAGACCTTCTTCGAACTCTTGGTCTCTCTTCGATTTGGATTGAGATTGGAATTGCTGGAACATCCAAGGGTTGGGGAAGTAAGGCATAGGCTGAGGAGGAGGGTAGTTCGGGAAGCCTTGTGGTGGGTAGTAACCTTGAGGTGGAAATTGGTAGAAATTCGGAGGTACTTGCTGGAACTGAGGTTGCTGAGGAGACTGTTGTGGTTCTTTAGGTTCCTCTGGTTTGGGAATGGACTGGGTTGGTGGGACGTGGGACATTCGTTTGTGTCCTGTCAGAAGGAAGAACTTTTCCTGTTGGAAGGAAAAACTTTTTCTGTCGGAAGGAAAAACTTTTTCTGTCGGAAGGAAAAACTTTTTCTGTCGGAAGGAAAAACTTTTTCTGTTGGAAGGAAAAACTTTTTCTGAAGTTCGACCAAAAAGTTCTCAATTTTCGAAAATTTGAATGGTTTACGGACGGACAACTGGAAAAATTTTTTCTGTCGGAAGGAAAAACTTTTTCTGTCGGATGGAAGGACTCGGAATGCCAGAAGGATTTGACGAGGCAGTTTACCTAATTTAAATAAACGACTGCGTAAAAGACTACTTGCGCAAGGTCATGAAGCCCAAGGTCAAGTTCACCACTATTTCTGGAAGGGCTGTCTTGAATCTCGAGACTTCGACCGAAATTCCAATTCAAATACCAGACGGGACAGCCTACGACGACATAAAGCAAGCAAAGAAGGAAGCCATTATAAAGTTCTTTGCCAAGCGTCCTTGGATACTACTTCCAAACAGAGAGAGTCCAATTCCACGAATTATACAAATTCTCAGAGCACTGTTCCACTTCTCGGGTCAGCCGTTCTACATAACCTGTGAAGGCGACATCCAACCAGTTCAGTAAACATCTCATTTTAACTTCACTTTTTTATGTTTTTTGTGAAAGTGTCAAAAATAAATTGTTTTCATGAGTTTTCTACGATGTTAGAAAAGTGGTTAGAAAAACGTGTTAGATCTAACATGCTAACATAAACATTATTTTTCAATACTTTTTTCAGCACTTTTCCGTAGTTATATATGAAAGACAATTCGAGATAAAAGTCATAGTACAATGGAATAATATGTTGCACACCATTTGTTGTGAACCAAACTTGAAAGTCAGAGAAACTGTTACTAGGTGGTTCGTAGAATTAGAAGCAAAAGTCATAAAAGTCCTTACCAATACATAGAAAACTATTGTTGCTTGAACTGAAACTTGCATGACACATAACATTTTGAGGGTCAAACACGTTTCTATAAACTGTCAAATCTGCTGGTGGAAGTATAAATTTAAATGGACCATCTGGTGGTAATGGTTCGTTCTGGTTTAGTAACCGAAGAAATTGTGCCCAAGAACGTTTGTCTACTTTCCAAAATAAAAACTCTGTATCTCTTGGAGGGTTAATTTCAATCTTTTGAAATGAAACGGTGGAGTTCATCTTGTCATATTCTAGTTTCAGATAGTATGTTCCATTTAGTAAAGAGTCGTATTTTTCTTGAAATTCCCAATAATATTTGTTCATTTGAGTTTGAAAGTTCATTTAGAGTTTTCTCAAGACTTTCGTCTGAACGAACTGTAAAGATTCTCATTTCGTCAAATTTGTCTATTAGACCATCAAACCTTTATACTGCCCATGAAAATATACTGCGAACTAAATGCGTTAGTTCTATTTTGAAAACAAAACTCTTCTAAATCCTATTGCCTTTGCATCTGAAGGACTTTGAAGCCAACGAATTGGATAGTCAAACCTGTATACTCGGGATGAAATTTCTTCATCTGAAATAGTCCTACCAGCATTTGTAAAGATATAGTCTAACGGTTTGTATCTGCTACTTTTGTTCTTTGTTTTTCAACCTGAAGCATTTAATATATGTAAAAAATATATTGTTTTTAAAATGGTATGCCTTTCATATTTCTCATCTAACAAACAAGTTTCCCAACGGTCTTCTCCAACAAACTCAGCGTACATTTCAAATAAAATTTAAAAAATGTCACTTTTTAAAAAATAAATTTTTACTTCATGCAATGTTTAACACATCGAAAGGCATGTCCATAAGACGTTCTTTCTTCTAACCTCTCTAGTCTGTTTGGATAATTTGCACGTGCTGTTTCCAAATCCATTTTCGTAGCGAAGACCAGACAATTTGTCATAGACTTTTATGGGTCTTCCCTTCCTATATTTAAACTTCTTCGAAACTCTCCAACCATATCTTTGCAACTCTGCTTTTATTCTAGCAGATTTTCTATCCATTCTATATGGGGGCATTTTTATAAAAATAAAAAATATTTTTTCTTTACTTAACATAACCGCCTGCTGCCATAAGTCTTTGACGCCAACCCATACCAGCTAATGAAGGTTGACTTGGTTTAGTTTCCAAACTAAACTTTGGTTTTGGTTTATCTTCAGTTTTTTGGTTTTTCTTCTTCTATCGGTTTTTCGTCACTTTTCGGTTCCTCTGACTTTACTTCACTTGCAGGAACAGTTGTGTCGTCAACATCTTCATAAATATCATATGCCCTTTGTTTTTTTTTTCCTTTCAACTTTTTGTGTTTGTTGTAAAGTTTAGAATATTTCGACTCTAAGTCAATGAGATGTTCTATAATGAAACTGTTGGCAGTGAAGTAAACTTTTCCATCTGTTGTCTCGAAAGCTCCTTCAGACTTCAATATTTTATTTGTGAGAGTCTGTTTCTTTTTGAGATACTTGCCGTTCCATTTTTATGAAAAAGTGACTTTGTAGTTAGGGTTTGTATTTTCCAGACCTGGCACTTTCTATTATTGAATTTTTCTCTTCATCTGTAAGTTCTTTGACAGGTTTTGACAATGGTTCTGAACTTTTTGTTTGTGGTGTCAAATCTACCGTTTCAACTTCTTCGGTCATTTCATCTCAGTAAAAAATTTTAGTTTGGTTTGTTTTCAACTGGTTGTTGTTGTTTTTTAAGTCGGTCTAAAACTTCCTGAGGTATAGGAAGAACTTGACAAAACACGTTGTGTAACTGCTGGAAGCCGACAAATCCATCTTGAACCCATTTGTCTCAATGCTGTATTGTTCATTTCATCTCAGTAAAAAACTTTACATTCCCCACGTTTGAGGCGGTTGAGGTTGTTATTGTTTACCCATTGTTGTGCATGGTTATATCCTCTGTTAAAGAATCTTTCACCTTGGTCCATATAGTGCCCTGCTTGGTTATAGTAGTCATTTGCTTTGTTATAATAGTTTCCTGCTTGTCTTCCTACATTGTCCATCCATCCTGAACTTTTCCTCTTGTTTCAGGATTTGGAATAAGATTTGTTGCATCTCGTGCTACATCCCAACCTTTCTGTACAGTTTGTATAATAGGTTGTGCTTTCTCTTTAAGTATACCTAATGTACTCAAAATCTTCCTTCCAACTCCAAATACACCTCTGGCTATTGTTCCCACTGCGCGGCAAAAATCTGGATGCAACTCCTGCTAATGCGCCAAATAAACCCATTTCTTATAGGATAAAAAATGACGAATCCAAACAAGGACCCTATGTTTCTAAAGCGACAAAGAAAGCACTCATGATAAAAATCTTTAGTTCAACACCAAATGCTTGGTTTATGGATATCTTGGAAAACATTCCGAGTATAGAGAAGATGGACCACCATACTGGCTAATATTTGTCGGTCAAAACACAAGATACTGTGAAGCCATACCATTACAGTCCAAAAGCTATTTTAGATATCTTAGCAGCTTTGACAATATTCGTTGACAAATACCATCCACAAAACTGACATCTGACTGTGAAAGTTCTTTCAAATCAGATGATGTAAAAAACTATCTGCGTTCAAAAATGTAAACCAATATTTCATTGTCGACCAAAACCATTCTGCTCTTGGTGTCATTGACGGTTGTATAAAAATGTTAAGAGACTAAACCAACCACAAGGTGGTGAAGCAAATGAAATGTCATATGACGACAAATATAGACACTTCTCCATGGCAAAGATGAGACAAGTTTTAATATTTTACAATAGCCGTAAACAAAAAGGTTTGGGAAACCACTCCCCCGAAGAAATGAAAAACAACCCTGACTTAGAGAAAGACTATATATTTAATAATTTAGTCAAAAGAGACAAACAAGAAAGAATGCCGGGCTTCAAACTTCAGAAAGGTTGACAAAGTAAAAATAGAAATACCTAAACGCGACCCATATGAAAATACTATTGACTATGACAACAATGGGAACCCGACAGGTACTCCACATTCGTGTTCGTAAAAATAGAAGAAAGTATACAAGAGAATATTATGAAGTTTTAGGCAAACATGGCAAAATGTACACACTGCAAGCAGAAGATAAAACGACTATTGTCAGACCTCGTTTCAAACTTGTCAAAGTTCAAGGTGGTATACTTTCAAAGACCAGTTTCTAACAAATATAAGACAACTCCTGACGAATATGCTAAAGAAGTTGAAAATGACGACTAAGCATTTCTATACCATGCGTAAACTGTCATGTAAGGTGGCATGTATTCTTTACTTTGTCCCGTGTTTGCGTATATCCTGAAACGCGATGTGTATGGTTTCCTCCTCCCTCAGTGTTACTCCAGAAACAATTATTAGCAAACTTAACGTTGTCTTTAACATCTATCCTTTACCTTTTATCATTGCTGACCAATCCCAATAATCTATGCTTATGCAACCTGCTTGAGATGTACTTAAATCTATGTAGTGACTGTGTGCAGGTAAATTTTCACCTGAAATCGTTTTACTTCCACCTGTTTTTTGAAGAGTTTGCACAATACAAAACCTGTCGACTATTTGAGTCAAGTTCCAAAACCAAGTACTACTTCTGGTCTGGTAGAGTTCATTGACGTATAAATAGAGCCTATAGGATATAATGTTTGAAGTATTTCTGTCTTTAATGTTTGAAGCTCTTTTTTGTCTGCTTTCTTGTCATATAAATCTTGAGCAGTGAATTTAATATTATATTCATCCTTCATGACATAAGCATCTTTACATCTAATGTTTCTCATCGTCGTTATGTCGTCATCCGATGTTAAACCTTGTGGAAAGTTAGGAGGTTTACAATATAATACATCCCCACCAGTTACGTCAACCGTTCCTTCAATACTTTCTATAGCAACAGTTGTAAAACTTGTATGTGTATGTTCTTATCTGCTTTCTTCTCTAACTCATCGTTAACATAAGTTTTATCTGCTTTAAGGTCTAAACATCCTGAAACCCATCCTGTATCAGCTTTAGTTTTTAAAATCTTCGATGTCCATGCATGATACCATTCAGCCCTTTCTATAATTTCATTATCTTTTTCATCCACATATTCCTTATCTGCTTCTTCATTAATTCACTAGCATAAGTCCCTTATCCGCTTTCTTTTCAAGGCTAACGTTTAAGTCTGTTATTTCAGATATAGAATGTGTATGTCCAACGTCACTTTTACTGTTTAAGGTTTCTTGTAAGTTTGTAATATTTGCAATGGTATGTGTATGTCCAACGCACTTTTACTGTTTAAGTTTCTTGTAAGTCTGTTATTTCAGATATAGAAGTGTATGAGTCTTTTTAGAATATTCGTTTTCAGCTCTTGTCACTTCACTTGACATTTTATTGTCAACATATGTTTGTCTGCTAGTTCAGGATGAGTATTTCTTTTGTTGCATAAGCATTGTTAGCTCTTCTTCTTCTTTTGCTATTGCATCGTCTACACTATTCTTTGTCAGCTTTGTTGTCAACATCTGCTTTCAAAAGAAGTTCATTTATAGGTTTCTCGTTTAAAGTTCCTTTTGTTGGATTTATACAGACAGTATTGTTCTTCTTGTCTTGAAATAGAAACTCATCTGTTTAAAGGGTTTTAATGTCAGTTTTAAGTTTCCTTCTTTCAATGACTCAGATATCTTAGAATAGTTTGAAAAGTTTGTTGTGTTCTTATTTAGAGCTTGCATAATGAGTTGTCGGTTGTGTTGTATTTCTCTATGGAAGCAATATCTTTCGACATTTTTATTCTAGATAAAATATGCTTCCAATAGAAAAGAAAATTCAAGAGTTGCTACAACTAAACCATTAGATGAACTTTTTACTAATGTCGGTCAAAAGTTTGAGACAGAGACGCGTAAAGCATGAAGGCTATCGTTTTGACTACCCATTAAGATGGTTAAAGACCATCTGTCACAAAAGCTATTGGCTTTCGTAGAATGAAGTTCATTTCAGAAGCCATACATGGTTTCCCATTTACGGTCGGTTTTGAAGTTCGATACTATAACAAAGAAAAACGTATGTATGAGAAAATTTGAACAGGGAAAACTTTTACAAGTTAGTTTGCTTGTAAACTTAGAAACAACTCTTCAAGCTTTTCAAGAAAAAATAAACAATATCTATATCGAATATGCAAAACAGTATAACATTGACGAAGGAGAATACCATCTCGATATTATTTATGACAGGAAAAATGCAACTGTTAAAATCAATAGAATAGAAGACCTTGGAGAAAACGTTTATAATTTCTACAAAATATAACAACTTGGCATGGTATAGATTTATGAGGATGTTAAATCAGCCTGCAGCATATCCAGTACACCCAGACTTTTATGAAGTCGAAAACCCTAATGGAACATATGAAAATGTTTTCGACCAAGATGCTATTATTGTTCATGCTTCATTTTCTGGTGCGCAAACTCTTTCTTATGTCTGATGAATGATTTTTACGAAAAACCTACAAAGTTATACGAACCACCAAGTGGAAGTATTTCAGACTTTCAAGTATGGTTTACTACAGATGGAAGAAAAAGAATAATTCCATTATACCATGCGTTTTACTTAGAACTTAGTTTCATATACAACTACTATCGAACGGTAAAAATATAATTTTTTAATACGGTTGAGGTGTTGGATTTGGTTGCCAACTAGACTGTGGTGCAGGTTCAGGCTGTTGTATAACAGGAACTTGTTCTTCTGGTTCAGGGTCTTTAGGTATAATACCAACGAACTGACCTACTCTTTTACCAATATTTTGACTCCGTTCCAAATTCCTCTTCCTACGGTTTTTATTCCATTCCATATACCTCTTCCAACATTTCGAAAGAAGTTTCCTATCTTACTGAAGAAACCCATTTTACTATATGTAAAAATCTAATGTCCGCCTAGTCTCTTACGTTTCCTGTTGAGTTCCATAGCATTCTTTAACTGGAGCTCATACATTCTGTTTCTCCTCTGGTAGAAAACATATTCTGGGTCAACTCCTGTGTTCGCGTCATCTGCATAAAGTTGTTTATATCCCACTTCAGGGTTTGTATATAAATCTTTCCATCTCATATTTGCATACCATGGTGGCAAACCTAACGCAGCGTCATTTGACATGGCAGTTTGCATTTGTACATCTGTTGGCACTTGACCATAGTTTGCCATTGCAGTTTGTATTCTAACTTCATTTGGAATATTCTCTGGGTTTGGTTGTCCAGGTTGCTGTGCATTCGCTAAGTTCTGTGCGTCCATTTAATATTAGATAAAAATATCTCTTACGAGTACATATACTGAACATTTGCAGGCATTGGTTCATCTTCATATTCTCTGTACTTTTCTGCCACGTCAAATAAATAAATGACACAATGGAAAAAACCTAAAACAAGTAGTCCTATTTCAAACCACATTTACTTACTAATAAAATTTCTTTGTTATGACACTTTCTCCGGTTTATAGACCTCTCTCATATTCTATCTTGTCATATCTAAACTCATAGTCATGTATGTCCTCTAACCATCTCATAACGGTTTCCAAACCACTTTTATCGGATGTAAAGTAAAAGCATGGATGGTTATGTATAACGTCTAAAGTTTCTAAAGAGTCTCTCAAAGTCCAGTCTACTTGGTATTGAAAATCCCATGTGTTATAGAACGGCGGGTCCACTATAAAGAAAACATTTTCCTTGTCTTTATATTTTTCATACAACTCTGTCCAATAACATCTCACAAACTCTATACCCTCAATATATTTTTCTATGTCCTCTTTGAAAACATTTGTATAGTTAAGATATAAAACTTTTGACATAAGTGTTTCAATGTCATGAACTCTTATAGAACCACTATATAATAGTCTAGCAGATATACTATCCCAGTCTATATATTCTGCTTTTTCAAAACCTCTCTCACAATATTTTTCTTATCTAATGGTATACGTTCCATCTTACCTATAGGTATCTTTTCTTTTAACTCACTCAATATTTTGTTTGTGTCTGGAATATGTTTGAGACGGTCCATATAGTTGTCGAAGTCATTGCATATAATCTTTGAGTCTGGGAATATTGTATGGCACAAATGGGATATATAGAAACTTCCACCGAACAAATCTACAAATGTTAGACCATTCGGTAGTTTCTTAAGTTCTCTCAATATAATATCTTTACATCTACTCTTATTTCCAAAGAACGGTAACGGTGGTTTTGTAAAATTCATTTTATATAATAATAAAAATGTTTTTTCCTGAAAAGTGACAGAAAAGTGACAAAGCATGAAAACATATATAATTTGTGAAAAGCGACACATTATATAATGTTTTCGACCCAGAAGAAGGCTTCTTCCCAGAAGCAATGGAGGAAGAAGAAGAGTCCTCCGAATTCACACCAGAAGACTAACAATTTTCCGAATAAAAACTTCATTTATACTAAACATCTTCGGGGCTAGAGGGCACGAAGTGCCTGGAAGCCCCACTACCTTTTTTTTTTTTTACAAACTTTATTATTTTATTAAAATAAACTAAGACGAATCTTCATTAGCAGAAGATAAAGGAACAACTAAAGATCGAATAAATTTAATATATTCTGGATCAAATGTGTCATCTTCTATGTTTATTATTTTATTTTCATCATTATTAATTATAGGAATTAGAGCTTCGCATTTAGATGTTGATAAATGAGATAAATTTAAATATTTTTCTTCTGTTTTGATATTTTCAGTAGTAATTCCATTTGGAATAGATGGAGTACTCTGAACATAACAATTTTTAAGTGTAAATGATGATGCAACTTTGTTAAAAAGATTAGATCCTTCTGGACAGTCATTTCCAAATATAGAACAGTTTTCAATTGTTATTTTATCTCCATTACAAAAAATTATTCCCCTAGATTTATCACTCTGTTTGTTTTTCAAAATGTTGCAAAAAGAAACAAAATGTGTATTAAGATAATTTCCTAATACATCATAACTAGGTTTGGCTGTTGTATTTTCAATTGTACAAAATGAAACTGATGCTTCTGATGATGGATAAAGTGCGTATCCTGAACAATGCGATGCTATACATTTACTAATATTTGTTGATCGAATAGAAAGATTTCCATTGTTTGCAGATATTGTTCTCTTAGATATTTCATTTCCACAAAGACAAATTGATGAATGATAAATTAAGTTTAATTTGTTTGAGTTTATGCAATTGGAATATGAGTGATGACCTCCATAGAAATCACTTGTAGTTGTTTGTGAAGATAATGAACAAATTTTGTATTGGACAAAAGAACTGCTGCACTTAAAATAAACACTGCTACCTTGCGATGTACTTGTGTTGTTATTAAAGTTGCATTCCGAATGTAATACTTTGATATTGTCAGAGGAATATTTGATTGCACCGCTTTTGAAGTCATAAAACAAGCTGAGAAAGACAAAATAATCTTGTTGCGAGGCAGATATTGTGCAATTTGTGCATTTGATAGGACTTGGTTGATTGTTCTCAGTGTAAAAATAATTCCACGCATCAAAGATTTTTGTAAACCATTCAAAAAAGGGTCAGTTTTTCTGTCAAAATTGAAAATCCTCATCATTATTTTATCACAAAGATAAAATATTTCTCGATAAAAACAATCTTATTGCTATTAGGATCATCAGCACCATTAATGATTGTCTCATTTTTACGTATTTCTTCAAATCCAACTGTTATCAAAACAAAATTCACAAATTTTACAAGATTATTAAATCCTAAATTAGTTGTTGCAACTATAAATCCATGTTACTACAGTTTATATCGATTTCGATGTCGTGTATCTCCAATCCAATCTTACTACCCTATTTTCATGCCGGATGCCAAAGTAAATACTAATTACGGCAACTTAGATCAATCCGTACTAATTCTGCAATACAAAGATGTCATTTGCAGAACAGACCTTTCTTTTTACATCAACAACACAATATATATCCTCGATGATCACTGCGGACCAAGTTTCATCAATTATAACAATAAGAACCATTCTGTCCTCGACATCAAATACAACATTTACGATAAAGTTATTTTAATTGGTCATGAAATATCAAATCATTATGACCATTGGTTTACAGAAACATTCCCATTATTTTTTGCTCTTCCTGAATCTATCATTGAAGATAGTTTCATTGCAGTTCGTGACTTCAATCAATTCATTTTTGACAGTTTGAAGATATTAGGTTTTAATCGAAGCCAAATCATATATGGTGAAGATCTTTACTTTTATTCGCACAATCTCTTTACCGTTTATGGTAATCCTTGTTATTTTCCAGATTATTCCACACTTTTGGCATATCGAGATCGACTTTGCAACATTTTTTCACTTGACAAATTTCCTCCTTCACGACATGTGATCATGAACAGTAAAATAGGATCTAAACAACATATTTCTAATTTCGAAGAACTTTTCAACGAAATTTCAAATCGATTTCGCAATTTCAGTTTCGAAGTTGGAATTGTTCATCATCGATTTTTAGATTCTATCAAGTATTTCAACACTATCAAGTTACTTGTCAGTGTTCACAATTCGTATTTGTCTAATGTCATTTTCATGCAACCAGAAACATATTTTGTCGAAATCCATATTTACACTGAGAATTTCCTTATTTTGCGTGTTGCTGTCTTCACAGGTAAAAAAGTCATCATAGTTAAATCAAACAATAATAACAAAAACAGCAAAATTATTGATACCAATGTTAACATCGAATCGGTTATTGAAGGTCTTAACTACGCAGTTTTCAGCATCGAGCGGGAAGATACATTTTTCCAATTCGAATAAACAAAGTATACATCTCCAATTGATTCGTATTTTGAAAAGTGAAATAAATATTATGGGTTGAAATTTTGAGTATAGTAACTCTTGATATATTATTGCCACTCTCATTGATCAGACACTTGTTTTTTCAACGAATATTACTCTTTTTGGCAAATGAAAAAGAGTATTAACATAATTTCATACATAAAGAAGATTTAAAACATAATCGAACTTTTTAAATTTGGCAATACATGCAATAACTTCATTCAGGAAGATCTATCTAAACTTAATACTTAAGGATGTCGATTAAATAAAACTTTTCACTCAGAGAATTAACTTGAAGCAGATAATTAAATCAAAAACACGATCGATTTTTTTAATCTCAGAAATGTCTAAAATTCACGATTTTGGGATTTTATGAAGGTGAAACCCGAGGAATATCTTCATCAGTTGCCAAGCAATCAGTCCACAAACAAGAAGACAAAGTGGCTGCCAAGAATCGAATTAATTTAATATAATCATGATCGAATGTTTCATTATAAATCTCTATGTAGATTCGTTCATCGCAATGAGAAGCAGAAAAAAGAGTTAGATTTAAATAAATTTCTTCAATTTTGATATTATCAGTAGAAATATCATTTGGAATAGATGGGGAACTCTGAAACATTACAATTTTTTACTGTAATTGATGCTGATGGTGATCCCCATTTGTAAAAAACTCTAAATTCTGATGGACCTTTATTTCCAAATATAGAACAGTTTTCAATTGTAATAATTCCATTACAACTTATTATTCCTTGATCTTTACCTGCTACTTCATTGTTCAAAATGTTACAATAAGAAAGATAATGCATTTTATAATTAAAATGACCTAATACTTCGGATTGTTTGCATGTTGAGTTTTCCATTGTACAAAATGAAACAGATGCTTCTGTTGATGGATAAAGACAATAGGAAGATTGATATTCTGCTGTACATTTACTGAAATTTGTTGATCGAATGGAAGTATTTCCATAAAATTCTACAACGGTTTTTCGAGTTTTGTCATTACCGCAAAGATAAATCGAAGAATCATAGATAAAATTTAAATTGTTTGAGTCTCTACAATTGGAAAAGGAGTGATGACCTCCAGATGAATCACTTATAGTTGTTTGTGAAGATAATGAGCAAATTTTGTATTGAACAAATGAGCTTTTGCAGTTAAAATAGACACTGCCGCCATTCGATGTACTTGTGTTGTTATTGAAGTTGCATTTCGAATGTAATACTTTGATATCGTTTGATGTATATTTGATTGCACTATTTTTGAAGTCGTAAAAGAAGCTGAGTAAGACAAAACTTTCTTTTTGAGAAATGGAAATTGTGCAGTTGCTGCACTTGATAGGACGAGACAAATGATTTTCATTATAAAAATAATGCCATACATCAAATGGAACATTTGATATCTAATAATAAAAAATAACATCAAAATTCATGTAAACTATTCAAAAAAAAGTGAATGACGGTACGCCAATGAATTAAGATTTTTTATTAAAATGACGAATTCAAAAATTTTGACATATTGTATACAATTACAACAATATTACAAAAAGTGACACTTTATTACTTTTATTTGAGAAAAAATCAATAAAGTAATTTTTTATGCATTTGAGCATTAAATGACATTGTTGATATTTTTGCGATGTCCACATGACCGAATTTCAATACGTTCTCAAAGCTAGAACTCAGGACAATCATTTCCAAATATATAGCAATTTTCAATTGTTATAATATCATTACAAAGAATTATTCCCCTATATAACATCAGTTTTTAGGATGTAACAAAGAATTATAGAATATTACTAAGTTTGCTTTTCAAAATGCTGCAAAAAGAAACAAAATGTGTATTAGCTTATGTAAGCCATTAAAAAAAAGTTATATAATACATACAGTTGTTTTATTAAGCAGAGTCTTGGATGTGAGGTTCATCGAGTTGTGAATAGTTCTTTCTTTTAGAGAAAACTGAAAGTCCATTAGAAAATAACTTGTAAATGATGAAAATTGTTGCTGATGTCAATAAGATAACAATACAAATCTGAGCTTTCAGACTTAACATCAATAATGATTTACTCACTGGACATCTCTCAAAAGCGATTTCATGCTTTCCAATAGTATTTTTGTTCGATCTGTAGTTTCTTGTCACTGAAATTTTTGTCTGGCCGCGGAAATAAAATGTTGCATTGTCAATTGGTTTATGACCACAATAAGAGAGTTTCTCGAGTGAAGAGGAGAATGACTGTGGATATATCTTGTCAATGTCATCTGCAAAAACTAAGAAAGAAAGAGAGTTGCATCCAAAAAAGACATTTCTGTTGAAAAGTGAAATTTTTCCGTAAAAAACTGCTTGTGTTAATTTGTTGCAATTACTGAATGATTCGATTCCAATGACTGACAAACTCATTGGGAATGAAACACTTTGCAAACTAGTACATCCGAAAAATGCAAATTTCTCTATCCGTGTGATACCTTCTAAAATTTTGACATTTTGTAAATTGACAGAATTTGATAAAAAGTGACAACTGATAACATCAATTTCTCCTGGAATAACTAAATAACTTAAATTCGAATGTGAGAAAACGCCATCTCCGTATTTAATATATTTGTTAGGGAGTACGATTTTAGAGAATTTAGTAAATGAAAAACAGAAATTTCCAATTTCCGAAACAGACTGAGGAATTTCGATTTCACAAATCCCAGAAAATTGGAAACAATTACTTCCAAAACTAATGATTTCGTTGTGCAAAACAATTTTATTGATATTGCGATTATTGTAAAAACAATAATTTCCAATTTTATTTATATTATTTGGAACAATAAATATTGTTTTGTCGAAATTACAAGGAACACTGAAAATAGTGTTTTCTTTAGTATCAAAAATAATTTTGTTTTCAACTTTGTACTGATTGTTGTTGATTGTTATTTTTTTTAAATTAGACAATCCGATGAAAGCTGAATGACTTAGTTTTTTCAACTTATTTCCAAGAGATATTTCCGAAAGAGAAGAACAATTCGCGAATGACAAATGATTGATAATTTCAATATTCAATTCAATTTTCTTGATTTGTCTGCACTCTCTAAAACATGAATTATTTATGATTTTCAGTGTTTTAGGGAAATTTATTTCTTTCAAATTTTTGCATTTTTCAAAAATTTCTGACGCAAAAGTGTCAATTTGACAGCTATCGTCAAATACAACTTTTTCTAATTTGATGCAATGACTGAAGCATCCTTGTCCAATTTTATTTAGTGATTTAGGAAAAACAATCTCCAAAAAATGTGAATTGTATTCAAATGATTTGTGACCAAGAGATAAAAGTGACACTGGCAAATTCAATTCTCTCAAAGCAGTGTAAGAGAAAGCCAAGTCTCCTATTTCTGTGCATTCACTTGGGAAAACAAAAATTTTCAGGGAATTGCAGTTACAACAAAATTGTTTCGGAATGATTTTTGATTTTTTCACTGTTATGTTTGTTAAAGAACGGCATGATATGAATGCTGCTGTTCCTCCAATGAAACTGCCTTCGAAATAGACTGTTTCAAGTGACTCGCAGCCGTAGAAACATGAATCACCAATTGAAACTCCGTCTGATAAATGAATCGAATGTAATGAGTGACATTGAGTGAATGCTTGTGTTCCTATTTGTTTGACATTGGAGATATTGATGTATAGTAGTTGTTCGCACTGTTCAAATGCTGATTCGCCAATAATTTTTACTGTTTTTGGTAAATTAATTCGAGATATTTTTTGGCAATTGGAAAAGCAGAACGAATGTATTGTAGTGATCGAATTGCTCAGAGTTATATTCAATATTGATGTGCATCTTCTGAAGGCTCCTTCACTTAAATTTTCGCAATTTTTTAAGTTGATAAATGTAAGTTGTGAGCACGAGGCAAATGCTCTATTGCCAATACTTCGTACGTTTTCGAGGTTCATTTCCTTTAAAGCAAAGCAATTTCCGAAAGCATCTGAATTAATTTCTTCGCATGATGATGGGATTGTGACGCTGATGAGATTGTGGCAATTAAAAAACGATTTTTCGTCAATTGATTTAATATCGGCAAAAATGTGACAAGATTTAAGAGAATTACACCCAAGAAACGATTCTGGCATAATATATTTGACATTTCCAAGTATATTAACGACATCTGGATTAGGATTTTTATGTAATACGTCCTTAATGTTATCAGAAGTTATATTTAAAACAAAAAGATTTGATATCATAAATTTGATACAATGTCACTTTTATATTTTTTGAGATTTTGCCAGATTTTGCAATATATTCATCAACAGAGTTCTCAATTTAATTTTGATGCAAAATTCTTGAATTTAAATTAAGGTTGAATTTTAATCGATATTCGATATCATCTGTTTGTTGCAATATCATAAATAAAAGATTTATCTCATAATTTTCAATATTTTCTAATACAATTTTTATTCCGAATAATTCTCAATAATGATAGAATTTTGTGATGAATACGGGAAATATTTAAAATAAAATATGATTTTACAATTTTCCTTTGAATGCAACAATTTCATCACCATAATACAGATGGCGCATTAGTTTCCTAATTTCTTTGTCGATATATGTGATTTGAAGTCATTTTTTCTATGTGGGGAATTACACTACCTAGAAAAGGTCCTGTTACGATAAAGAAGCCTCCATCTACTAATCAGAAAGATAAAGAAAGGCAAATTGCAAATGCAGAACAAGATTTAATGCACGAATATCAAAGATTTCACGAAGCTTTAACAAAATTCGAAGCAGAAAGAGATAGTTTTGAAGAATGTCATGTCTCCATAAATAACGAAGAGATGATTGAAAATATCAGGCAGAGTTTATACTATTATTCTTCATTATTAGAAGATAGAGATATCATTTCAGATCGTCTTTTAGCAGAGCCGATAGTTTCATGCGAACAAGATGAAATTATGGTAGATTCTATAGTAAATGATAACATAACTTTACAAAACGAAATTGAAAAATTTATTGAAAACATTAATACACCAGATCAAACAATTACAGAAGCTGAACGATCAGATATAACCATTGAAGACCGCAAAAATGATATTAAAATTAAAAATTCACAACTTTCGACAAAAATTAATGAAGTTGAAAGTGAAATAACTGCAATTAAAGCCGAAATACAATCGTTAACTGATAAAGTAAATGAATTAGACTCTAGTTTACTTGACAGAACAGATGAATCAAGTACAGAAATTGAAAAGCCAAATCAAACAATACCTCGTTCAATTTCGGATGGTTCAGAACAGTATTTTCTTGAGAAGCAGGTATTTGAAGCAAATGAAGAGGAAATAAAGCTTAGAGAGCAAATTATTGAAGATACAAAAATTGAAAATTCCCAAATCTTATCTAATCTTGAAAAAGAAGTTCAAAAATTGCGAGGACAATCTAATTCTGCCAGTTTTTCTGATAGCATTGATATTGATTTAAATTCTTTGTCAAAAAAGCTTGCAGATAAAGAATCAGAGCTAGTTCAGATGAGGAGACTCTCAGATAATCAGAAGAGATTGTTACAAAGTATTGATGAAGATAAAATTTCACTTGAAAAAAGAAAAGAAAAAATTAATGAATTAAAATCCAAAATTGAGTTGAAAAAGCAAATGATAACTACAAAGAAACAGAGAGTATTATCTTTGAGATCTGAATTAAACAACTTCAACAAAGAACCTGAAATTGAAAACAATGAGGAAATTCCTAGTACTTCAAGTCGAAGGAAATCAAACACTAGCTTTAGTGATAGTATAGAAGCCTTGCCTGGTGGTATAGATAATCTTATTTTCTAAATTATTTGTAAATAAATTGTATTGTAATGAATAAATCTGTAATAAATAAACTTTTACGAGAATGAATATTAATAAGATATGTCAATCTCAGACTTTTACAATTGAAATTCTTCATTATTGATAAAATGAAATAGATATACGTGTCTTATAAACATATAATTAGTTTTATATACTTTGTATTATATTTCAAGTGAAAAAAAATTAAAAATTATATTTTTTTGAGAATAACTTACAGTAAAGACAGAAATTTACATTACAATAAAAAGCAAAAGTCAAAAAATAAGAAAATAAATTAAGCCGAGGCCTGTTTTTGTGGTGGTGCAGGTCTGCGTTGGAATGTTTTCTGTTTCTCCATTGTAATTGAATGCATCGCTAGTTCGAAGACTTCAGAACCGTATTTTGCATTTACTTCGTCAATCCACTGCATAGTTTCTGGTGATAAGTTTTCTTCACCGATTGATTCCTTTGTTGCAGCCGCTGCGGCAACTTCTGGTGGTAGGTCAAGATAAGACTTTGAGCATATGACAAGGCATATGTCAACAATGACACCATTGCATATTTTAACAAAATGATCATTTGGAACTGTGGCTTGAATGTTTGATTTCCATTTCTCGAAGTGTGTGAATGGGAGTTCGAAGTTAACATTAAAGTCAATAGCTTTTAAGAGATCTAATTCCGCTTGAGTGATAATTTGAAGTTGATCTTGTGGAACTGGGCCGCCGATTTGCTGAATTTCTGGTCCGACGAGAGATCTGACCATGTTCGAAGGAGCAGAAAGGCATATCTTAGCAAGCTGATCGTAGACCATTTGAATCGGTCTGAAACATTTATTTGCTTTGCACGAGGTGAATAGTGCTGCAACCATTAAATAGAATAGTCTGTAAGGGCATTCTGTATTTGTTCGGAAATAGTTTTGCAATATCACAAACGCAGTGGCAATTATTGGACTCAATTCGACTTGAAGTCCAATTCTGCATTTGGAAATCAGCGTCCAAACTATCCTCCTCTGATCATCTGTCCATGTACTTTTAATAACTGAAAATTCGTCAGCACGATGAGCGGGTTGATTGCTCGTCATACCTTCGAAATTCAATTATGAAAAATTATTTGTGAAATCATTCACAAAAATTCAGTAAAAAATATTTATAATAAGCTAAATAAGAAAGTAAAACTATAAAATTTGGTAAGATTGTGAAAGTTTTCAATAAATAATTGTTTTGAGTGAACAGCCATTTATAAAATTGACAACATCGTAATAGATGCAATGAGGGTCTGTGAAAGTCCATTATAGTTCCATAAAATATTCAGTTAACCGTTAAAGTAGTTTAGCTGTATTTTCATTTACTTTAACTAGTAACTTAGTATAGATAAAAAATATTACCAGACCATATTACAATTTAAAAATATTGAATGAAGTAATTGAAAATAATTGTTCGGACGTACAATTGTATAAAAATTACAATTCACTGGCGTTTTAAAATCTTGAAGAGATACGATTCTACGCAAGAATATAAGAATTAGTTATCCTGTCAATTTTTTACATTCTAAAATAATTGACTGTAATCCTCTTAAACTCATAAAAGTTTGGATAATAATAATTCTGATAAGTAAAAATTAATCCTCCTGGCCATGTAAGTAATGTCCGATCGATTTAAGTGATTCTTATTGCAAAAATTTTAAAATTAGATGATTTTTTTATTACTCATCAAAAATACCATGGTCATTAATAAGATAATATGATTTTTATTATATTTACATTGATATTTCTAGTTTCTAAAATTTCAAATATTTTATGAATTTAAAATTTTCATATAATTAAATTTTAACATTAACATTTATTCATTTTGATGATTGAGATTTCATTTTCCAATTTACAAAAAAACAACAATTTCATTTTTCAAAATTGATCTTTTGAAACAATGAGAGAGGGTCAAAGTTGCTATTTGTCACTTTTCCACAAGAATATAATGGGGAAAAAGTTATCATATAGTTGATCTCATTCACTTAGGTGAGAGATGGATGTAGTGTAATGTGATAAACAGTGGGATTGCTGCTCTAAGTTCTAGGTTCGAGACACATTGGCTTCATTTTTCTCCTTTTTATTGACGTAAACTATTCAATTTTTGTGTTCTCCATTCAAATTTCAGAATTTTTTTTGCAGATTTCACGCTACATTCGAAGTTACCTTTTGTAACAACCACCACCGCCTACGAAAGACGAAAGTGTGTCACGATTTCACCCGGAAATCCGACGGTTGTTTAAGAGTAAGCACTTTTGGCACCTACTCTTGAAACAATTACTTTTATATCAATGAAAGTTTTAGTTGTTTTATTATTTAAATCAAAATTCATGATAGCCAAAATTCAAAAAAAAATATTTTCATAATCAATATATTGACATTGCAATTGTACAAAACACTTCCAAAGCTTATGTTGCCTTTAGAAAACCCAATAGATATTAATTAAATAGATATTCCTATTTTCGGAAAAAAAAACCAAGAAATTCAAGAGTTCCTCTGTCCCTTTTTACATGAGTGAAGATGGAGTTGTTGTAAACAGAAATTCATCAAAAGTGACACCTCAGAAAAGCTAAAATATTGAATTTTTGGAACTTTTGATAGAGCACGTTTTTAAATATTAATTAAAGTAAATGTATATTTTGTAAAGATTCTTTTTAATAAAAAAATAAAATTTTGAAGAAGAACACAAAATCTTCTGAAAAATAATATCACATAAACTCATATTATTTTCTAATATATAATATTTTATATAAAAATCAAATTCAATGATCTTAAAAGCGAAGGATAAACCTCACAATTTACGAATATAATGAGTGGGAATATAATGCTTATCTATCATAAAACCATATGAAATATCAATTTTGCTTTACGCCTAATTTTTTGACGACAATTAGCAAAAAATGTTAAAATGTTAACACTCAGTCCATTTGAATATGAAAAATAAAATTGACTTTGATTAAATGTTTATTTATCATGCAATTCTTCTTGCGACCAAGATTTGAATAAAAGTTCAAAAAATAAGATAGCTTAAAAAATAATATACGGTAGTGTTTACTAATAGATGAATAGTATATAAATTCTATTAAAATGGATTTGATCCAAAAAAATATAAAACCAAAAATAATTGTTATAATTTAAATGAAGAAGTAATTTAAAACGATTTTATTTATGATCAAATTTTATATATTTTTTTGGATCAAATCCATTTTAATAGAATTTATATACTATTCATCTATTAGTAAACACTACAGTATATTATTTTTAAGCTATCTATTTTTTGAACTTTTATTCAAATCTTTGGTCGCAAGAAGAATTGCATGATAAATAAAACATTTAATCAAAGTCAATTTTATTTTTCATATTCAAATGGACTGAGTGTTAACATTTAACATTTTTTGCTAATTGTCGTCAAAAATTAGGCGTAAAGCAAAAATTGATATTTCATATGGTTTTATGATAGATAAGCATTATATTCCCACTCATTATATTCGTAAATTGTGAGGTTTATCCTTCGCTTTTAAGATCATTGAATTTGATTTTTATATAAAATAGTTATATATTAGAAAATAATATGAGTTTATGTGATATTATTTTTCAGAAGATTTCATTCTATATGCCTATGAAAAGTACTCTCAAAACTAAATTTTTCCTAATTATAATTAAATCTAGAATATTGTGTTATGCTTAGTATTATTTCATTTTTCTCATTCAATTTAGAATTTACAAATGTCAAAAAATTGAGAGCTGTCACTTTTGATGAATTTCTGTTTATTACAGAGTAAGTATAATTCGATTCTTTTTGTGTTGCCAAATGATTCTTGAATAAAAGTGACAAAATTTGTACGTTAATTTATTTCAAACATGAGAAGAGGCATGACTTTAGCTGAAAACGCAGAAACAGTTCCAAAGCCTGCGGAGCAAGCAATAATTAAAGAAACTATCAGAGACCCGCTTGTAAAAGCAGTTGGTGAATGGTTAATTCAACAAAAACCAAAAATTCATGCAAATTTTAATCTATTCCTTGAAGAAATTGTTAATTCACCGATTTTAGATGAAGTACCTCCAGCTACACAGAACGTTGCTGAAAGAAATGCAAAAGATATTCTTCTTCACAAATATCACTCAGTTATCCATCGTGTTTTAGAAAATGATATTGGTCAATATGCTGATACTTTGAATATTTTATCGGGTTATTTAGCCAGATCAAATGTTATGGCTTCAATTCCAGCAGTTCGTGATCCAACTCCGAAACTCCTTAAGGCTATAGCACAAGAAGATCATTTATTTACAGGATCAAGAGTCGTTAAGCATGATATGCCTAAGCCAAAATGTGCTGGAGTTGTTACAAGAGAAGTTTTGAATCAAATGAACTCATTTGAAGTCACAGCTAATACCAGAGCTAAAAGTTGTAAGCCAACAAGCCAGTATAAGTCTCCATTTGCTCAATTCCCAGGAGGAACCCAAATGGAGACAACATATCAGGAAACTTTCCATAAATACGATGAAGATGCTAGACCAAAGGTCAATTCTGTTTTCAATGTTTTCAATGCACCTACATGCATTTAATTTCATTCATAATCTGTTTTTTTCGCATAAATTTCATATTTCTCATAAATTTCTGAACTTTTTTTAGTTAATATAATAGCCTACTGGTCTTCTAATTTTAGTAAATGAGCTTCTAAATTTACAGACATTATCTAAACATTAATCAGACTGTTAATATGAAACATAAGCGCCATACAACTATTCTTCATTATGTATCACTTTGCAGTTCTAAATAAGTAGTAAATTTTCCTTCTTTCGTAAAATATTCATTCTTCATGAAACATTAAGGGATCACTGCCTTAGTTTACAACTATTCAATTTTTAACATTTGCTTTAAAAATGGTATAACAACAAAGAATTAGCGACCAATATTATGAAATATATAATCAATGATACAATACTATCTTATGTGCAAATTTTCGAAAAAAGTATTCAAATATCTAGTGTGGTGAAGCGCAGAAAGTCCTCTAGATTTGGGTTGTTGACTTTTTTCAATAATGAAGATATAGACTCTTAATCATATTTAAACATATTATTTTAAGGGTTTCGTTTTGCGAAAAAAACGTACAATACGCAATTTCGCTAAAAAAACATTTAGCTAGCAATTTCGACATTTGACTCCACTCAAGACGTCACTTTTTTAATTTTGCGGTATCATATTTTTGGAAAATCTTTATGAATATTATATAAAAAGTCTCTTTAATATCTATATTTCATATTTTTATCGATTTTTAAAGTTTTTGCGAAAAGTATTCAATTATTTTTGCTATTTGGTCGTGTAAATGTCAGATTTGCGACATTTTCTGATATGATATTCAGATTCTACGTTGATAATAATGCTTATAGAACCCTCTTGCTATTGTGTCAAAATTGCGAAACCGATAGCAAAAATATCTCGCAATATCAAAATTGAGATATTGAGTGAATTATGCATTATAGAGATTAAAAATCTGATTTGTGAAAACATCTCATCAGTTTCTAGCTAATTCAAAAATCTTTACTATCTTATTCGATTAAAATGAAAAGGGAATGGTTTCATTATGCTTTAAATGACAGCCTTATAATATAATCATAGTTTTCGCTCAATATGCAGCATTTTTTTTCGAAATCTATGGTCAATATCCTAAATACTGATTGCTTTGCATTCATATCTCTTACATTTTCTATACCCACATCAATATTCATTGCTATTCCTATCTTTTTCATTTTTGTTTGTTTCTCATAATTTCTCAAAAAACATGATAACTTGATATTTGTAAATATCATACTTTATAACGTAAATAAGAATTTGACCTATTAAGAAAAGCAGTAATGAAAAGAAAATCTGAAATTCATAAAAATTACAAGTTTCTGATGACAATTAGCTTAATTAAACCAGGTACAAGATTATATAGGGTGTCCAAAGGTGCGTTTAGCACAGCGCTCTATATGAGACTATTAAAGGAGATATATGCTGATTATAAATATATAATAAAAAATATGAATATATGTATATGATGAGTATGTTGTATTTTGGCGCCATGCCAGGATATAAAATGAATTTTGAGACAAGAGGCGGTTTCGCGGGAAATTTTGGCGGGATTTTTTTCATTTTTTTAATGAATCATAAAGAAAACATCCTCGCTCTTGCAAAAAAATGCAAAGACTGTAAAAAAATCTACTAGACATTGGTAAAATGCTTCGGTATGGATGCTCCTAGCTATTCCACTGTAACGTATCATGTTAGGATGTATCACTTCATGAACAAAAAGGCGCCCATCATAAAAATTGACAAAAAATCGCCGGATCAAAGAAAAATCAAAGCAATTCTTCAAGCGCTAGATGAAGACCCAAGAGCATCACTCAGAAGGATAGAGGAGATGACAAAGATACCACGTACAACAGTCAGTTATTATCTGCACAATTATTTGAACTACAAACTAGCGTATACACGTTGGGTTCCGCACAACCTTAATTCAGTTCAAAAAAAATCTAGAGTCCAATCTTCGAAAGAGCTCCTCTCTATATTGGGTGCGTATCAATCCAAGAAGTTTCGCTTTTTAGTAACAGGGGACGAGTCTTGGTTTCAATATGCAACAGAAGCCAAAATCATGTGGATCCCGAAGGATGAAAATCCGCAAACATTCCCGAAGAAAAAAATTGACACACCAATGATGATGTTGTCGGTTTTTTGGGGCGTGAATGGCATCATCGCAATTGATATTCTTCAAAAACCTAATACGATGAATGCTCAGTATCTAATTGACAATGTTCTTACTCAAATTTTCAATTCTGATGAGTTTGAGAAATCCAAACAACAAAAACAAAAGTTTGCAATTCATTTTGATAATTCAAGAGTTCACAAAAGTCATAAGGTAATGAATTACTTGGTGGAAAACAATGTCAAAGTTGTTCCAAACCCAATTTATTCACCTGATATTGCACCCTCTGACTTTTATTTATTCGGCACGCTAAAAAAGAGAGCTGAAGGACGCGAATTCGCGAGTCCAGATGATCTTGAAAATTTTGTAAGAGAGCAATTTGAGCAATTTTCTCATGATGATTTAAAGCGTGTCTTTCAAGCCTGGATCGATCGCTGCGAACGCGTGATTGAATCCAATGGTGATTATATTTAAATAAACGTTATATATATGTAACTTGTTTATTTCTATTCGCAGTATTCAGGTTTGTGCTAAACACACCTTTGGACACCCTATATAATTGTATTTTCTATCCAATTATCCATATAATATCTTATCCAGAAAAAAAACTTGATCAATACAAAATGATTTTTTAACTAGTAAATAAAGTATTTTCTTTACACACACATTGTATATCATAGTTTTTTTTGGTTTCGCAAAACATCCAAAAACAAATATGCTATAAAAGTGACAATTTTAGCAAAACGAAACCCTTAATTATTTCAATAAAAAATGAACATCGGATGGACCAATTTTGAGAAATCTTGATCAGCGGGCTCTAGTTAGTATACAATAATGTGGTACCAAGGGTCTACGCCCCTCGGAACCCCATTATTAGTTTTTGACAAAATTAACGATATCGTAAATTTACAAATAAACGTTATCAGATATTACAGGCGTGTATATTTAAAAATAAAAAATTAAAAATTATTAAAATAAATTTTATAGCTTACAAAGTTTTTGCAGCGCTTCCCATTGCTGTGCTTCACATAATAATTCATAATCTTCACTATCGCTTTCTTCTTCATCTGATTCATAATCATCACCATAATTAATGTTGAACAATTGAGACAATTTTGATAAAGCTAATTTTACTTTTCTTCCTTTTGTATCATATGCTACTATAAATTTTCCATCATGTTTGTAATCATAAACACTTAAACTAATTTTTCCTTTACGCGCACATATTTGATAAAATGCATTTTCTTTAAGAACGAAGAATAAGTTTTCGAATTCGTGATTATTGTAATTCTTGATTTCAATTATTCTGCTCATTTATATAAAAATAAAAAAATAATTTTTGAAAAATAAATTTTAAAAATTAACGTTAAAATTTTTTTATTTATTTTTTTATCATAGATTTTAACACCCAGAGTAAAAAAAATAATTTTTTAAAAATAAATTAACTCAAAAATTTTTTAATTTCTGTATATACTAAATTTTTTCATAAATGATAAAATTAATTTAGACCCTTTGGGTCTCGCCGCTACGCGGCTTAGGGTATATCTAACCCGATATCTAACCTCATTTCTAACCTTGTGAATTTTCTTATAAAGTTGCGATAGTTGAATTCAGTAACTGAGCCTCAAGGAAGAAAACATCCTTTCCGTCTTCGGGTAACACAACGGGGCATTTATGATCATGTGTAGAATACATATCAATCCAAAACTCTCTATTATTTCCTGATAACTTATAATATTTAATATTTGTTAATGGTGATGATCTAGTATGTCCAATAAATTCATTTTCAACCCCTTTAGCGATATTTGAATATAAAATGACTTGTTTTCTGTCCCATACATTATATGTTATTATTGGTAATAATACTGTTCGTTCTTCTCCTGGTTTATAATTAAATACATTCATGAAGTCTTCATTATACTGAGAAATTTTAAAACCTATCCTAAAATCACTTTGTCTCTTTTCTGCTATTTCATTAAACGGTGAGTATATAACAAATGTGCATGTATGTGAATCATCTATTTGTTCAATAAATTCATAATGAAAGTCTATAATTTGTGGTTGAATTCCTTCTTCTTTTAATTTATCAAGATACACATTTAATCCTTTCACTTAATTTCCTTTGTGGTTTTTGTGGTTTTTCTTCGGCTTTTGGTGTCTTTAGTTCTGTTAATATCTGCTCACGAATTTCTTTTTTGATGGCTTCAATATCTAATCCCTGACTCATTTGATTACCGATAAAAAATTCAAAATTTAAAAATTTTATTTGAATTAAATATGAGCCTATCAAAATCTGAGAGACAATCGATTATATTAAATGATGCAAGAGGAATTCAGCATCCATTATATTATGTATCAACAAGTAAAGATGGAAAAATTTATGTAAGAAAAAGACGAGTTCCATTAACGAATTCGGAAACTGATAAAATTGATATTAAACCTCCTCCATCTGAAACGAAATCAGAGCCTAATCCAGGACCTTCGGTCTTGGCGCAGAGCGCCGAAATAAAATCAGAACCTAAACCAGAACCTAAACCCGATGTACTTTCGATAACGAATCAAGAATTAATAGCTAAATTTGTAAATTTCATTGAAAAGCAAACGGAATCAAAAAATCCAGACCCACCAGTAAAAGAACAGGAAACCAAAATTAATGAAGAGTTTGTTAAAAACGTAAAACATGAAATTATTGAACAAAAGAAACAAATTCCTCAACTAAGAAGAAGAGTTAGAATATTAAACTAAATAAATATTTTTATCTAACATAAAACATGCAAAACGAACAGCATAACGAATTTACACCAGCTGAACATATCCATCAAATTCGTTCATATTTTGATGTAATCGATAATGCAATTAATATTGGTGATACTAATAGAAGATATATCGATGCTAAAATTCCATCACAACCAGGAAGCGCAAAGGATCATAACTGGGTCACATTCAATTTATCTCCGCCAGGTGAAAATATGCTAGACCTTTATAACACATTCCTTACAACTACCTATAAAAGTAAATATATCATTGATAATGCTATTACTGGCTCATCAATTCCAAATACTAATTCTCCAGGTTTCTTTGGCGTTTTTGATGAATCAATTTACACCATTAGCGCTTATCAGTTATTAGCAAATGGAAGAGTTATTTATAGTCAGGATAACGCAAGAGAAGAAGCATATATCATTTCTAATTCACAGACTACAGAACAAATAAAGAAAGTTGATGTTTTCTCAAAAACGAGACATAAAGATGTATGGAAACGTTCTGGAACAGTTCGAACAGGTCAAATTATCTCAGGACCTTTAGCTGCAGGAGCTGAAATTAAAGATTCCATGTCGTAAATTCCTTATTCTAGAAGTTATTAGATTTATTCCTGCTTTTGCAGGCAACATTCAGTTAAAGGTTAAATTTAGTAGCGATGCATTCCAGGTAACAGCACTGCCGGTAGAAGATATTTTAGCTCATAATCCTTCCTTAATCAGTCAGGTAAAAGATAATTATGACCCACCAACTAATAAATTTGTTCCATGGAATGAACCATTCAATATGATAACAGCAGTTTCTAAATCAAATGGTGAAATTACTGTTTCAACAGTTGAACAAAGATTAACGAAGAAATCAGCTGAATTCATTGATTGCTTCATTCATCCTAAAGCATTTTCACTCGATCCAAATATTTACACTGAATTAGTCGATCATTATACATTACAAGCTTTATGTTTTCCAATTAAAGTAATGGACTGGATTCCTATGGACGGTTCGTTCAGTAAAGGTTCACCATCAGCAACGTTCACAGCAGCTTATACACCAATTAACGTTAAAAGCATTTGGGCTTTATTTAGGAAGAATGATAATTATATCGTGAATTTCGAAAATCCTGATAAAATGCTTGTAATCCTAAGTCTTCAATCGTGCAAAATACTTCATTCATGATACGTTTCGACATAGATAAGATATTAACACCTAAGGGGCAAAAGTTAAAGTGTCTGCAAATGCTTTTAGTTAGTTTGAAAATAGTTTTATCCGAACCATCTAAACCTTCAAATTTAATGATGTGGTTATAATTTCTGATGGCATACCTAACAGCATCTTTATCATCAATGATTTTAATTTTCGACTCTATCGGGGACAAAATAGTTTTTCCATAAATACTGTTCAAAATTAATTTAATATTTTCTTGTAGCGGATTTTCTTCCTTCTTATACTTTAATCTCAATTCAAACAATTTCTTTACTTCATCTCTTATTCTAAAATCTCTTTTTTCATCGTAGTAGTAACCCTGTAATACTTCGCAGCTGATGCCCTGATATTTTATTAAATCCTGCAAAGCTATGTGGTCCACATACATTAAACAGCATGTGTTAGAACTTCTTGGAACCTTTAGCTCCGGGTTTAATTCTGGATCTACTGTTATTAATGGAAAGTGCCTTTTAATCTTAATCTCGGTTATTTTTATTAAAACAAAGAATCCGGAAATGAATTTCTCACCTTCAGGCTCGCCCTGGTCATCATCGAATAAATGTTTTAACAAATATTCACTGTTTAACATTTCTTTCTTCATAACCTTTGGAATTCCTTCTAAAGTATAAAGTCTCGCATAGCTGAGGATATAATGAAACAGCATCGAAGTCAGCAATGAGTTTCTTTTCGCTCTTTTGTTTCATGTTATCTGACAGCATACATCTTCCACCTTGAATACAGCGTGAAATAAATTCTCTTGGTTTATTTGAAAGGTCATATAAATTTCCATTCGGGAAATATACTCTGTTTTCGAAAAGTTTGTTAGCGATTGAACAAATGCTAACGTAATCATAAACGTTTAAATCAAACTCTTTCAATATATCATTTCTGAACTTAACAAAACCTTCTCTTAAAATCCTTACGTCCTGTTTGCAATAAAATGAGCTATATTTTTCTAAATCGAAATGGTTTTCATCTATTCTGCAGTTTTCGATTAAATCTATGTTTTTCATGAACGTTTCAATATCTTTTACAAACTTACACGCTTCAGAAATTACGCCAGTTTTGTTATCATTAACTAATAAAGAGCTTGAATAATATTGATACGGAAATACTTCCTTTTCACCACACTGCAAATGAAACATTTCAGGAAATAGTTTAAGCTTCTTATTTATAACAGTGTATGAATCTTTAATAATGATTGCTTTACCTTTATATATTCCCGTTATCTGCATTGTTCTAGAACCCTTAATAATTGGTGTTCCGCTAATTTCTGTTAAATGTCTTAAAATGAAATTGATATCATAACTGAGGTTATGAAAATATATTAAACTTTTATCAGGAATTCTTTCTAAAAATTTTGTTGCACAATTTTGACCCCAAATGCTTTCGCTAATCTTTCCATCTTCACTATCATAACAAATGTTAAAGGCTTTATGAACTCCATCAGTGCTACATTCAAAGTCAGCGAAGAAAATGTGTTCAGGAATGAATTTTTGTTTTGATTTATCACTATCTTTACTTTCAGACTTTTTCTTTAACTGAACACAGTAGTTCGGGGTATAATTTAAATCTTTAAACGGTGCAAGTTTTTGTTTATATAAATCTGTTGTATAAGTGAAAAGTTCACCATAAGATAACGGTTCAAAGTAATTGCACTCTCTTAATGTTTTCAAAATATCCCATAAAGGAGTTGTTCGCGTAGAATCAATAACAAATCTATTTTCCCTTTTCTTATATATTTTCATTTGACGCTCAATATTCCAGCCGCCTAATGATTTGAGAATTTCGTTATAATTTATGATAAAATATGTTGTCATAGGTAATCTTTCATTTAACATGTAATGGTCTTCAACAAGAAGTAAGTCAATAGTTCGAACAGTTTCACATTCTTTTGGTATATATCTCTTTATTTCATTATGTCTAGAGTCATTGAAATAACCAATGGTAACATTAAATGCTATGCCTGTTGCGTTAGAAATTTCCTGAATCTTACTTTGTGGAAAATCTCTAACTCTAATAACTTCACGCATGTGGTCTACCGTCTGCTCATCAACTCCAGCCTGAATGCAAGCATAAACGAAGCAGTTATCTTCTGTCATCAACTTAGCAGTTCTTTTGTTAAGTTCATTGAAAATTTGATAGCGTTCAAGATTTATAGGTAATCTGCAAAGATACTTCCAAAACTCACCACTTCTCTTTTTATTCGTTCTCTTTTCATCAAGAATTTCATTCCAAAAATCATCTATATCCTGTTTATCTCCTATTTCTTTAAGTCTGTTTAATAATCTTTGCTGACGTGCTGTTAATTTACTTTCATCTCTTTTTTCTCTCTTCTGTGGCTTACCTTTCTTAATATCGCTCATCGTTAATCCTTCATATTCAGTTAAATCATACATTTTAATTTCTTCGAGGTTCTTAATATTTGTCATGAAGAAATCATAATGTTTTTCAATTATTCCGGCTGCGTTTGCTTCAATCTCTGTTATAAAGTTTTCTTGCTTTAACTGATGAAGCAAAGCTCCGATGTTCTCGATATTCAATGTTGAATTAGTAAATTTACCATCGAGTTTATAACAAATCATCCATTTTTGCTGTGAATTTACTTTTATCTTCTGCAGAAGCCTAATAAACATTTTACCGAAACGTTCATGTAGGTAATTTCTGTTTTCTTCATTGAGTTCACGAATATTAAAATCTATGATTCTATTTCCTGCTTTAACATTTTTGCGTTTATTATTTTCATCCTTCTTTAACCATTTTTCGTCATCAAGAGCTTTATCGTCTATAGATTTAATAACTTCGTTTGCTTTGCGTAATTGTGCAATTGCTTTTGCATACTTTACAGCTATATTTTTCTTTTCTTCATCGCTTTTCTTCTTTCTCGTTTCACCTACATCAACATTCATCATATCATGAATTTCCTGCCTTACTTCCTTCGGTACTGTTTATGATATAAATTAACCTGAACATCATTTAAAGGAAATGTTTTGTTATTAATGTAATCATTGATTTTCTCGTAAGTGACTACACCTCTGTAATCATTGAGGTATTTAGCTAATGAAGATTTGTTAGTCGCATATCTTTTGCTAACTTCAATGTCAGCATCCTTCAATAACTTCTTAATTTCTTCATGGTCTAATCTAGATAGCTTTTTATACATCTTTTATGGAAAATAAAAAAAATATTTTCCGTAAAAAATATAATTTAAAAATAAACTTAATTTTTTAAAATAATTTATATTTTTAATTTTAATAAAATAATGTCTGATACAAGTTCTATTCATACAATGCTCTCGCTACTGCTGTTAAGGGTGAATTCATAAATGGAAAAAACGTGAACGTTATATTCAATAAAAAGTTTGTGAAAGAATCTAAATACGGTCAGTTCGTTAAACCATACGCTATCATTATTGACAGAAAACGTTACACACCACATGAAATAGCAGTATTACTTAAACAGAAAGGAATATTTGTAAATATCAAAGATACACATTATACGATTATGAAGAACTCTAACGTTGAATTTTTCAGCATCGCCTTAGATTTATCGCAGCAGAAAGAATACAAGAAAGGTGAAGTAGTTGTGAAATATTATCCTTCATCTCTGAAGACGATAACGAATAAAGATATAATCAATAAGCTCCTACCAGTAATTGAGGAAGCAACAATTGAATATGATGAAGAAGGAACGGAAATGATTGAGGAAATAGACCCTGAAGCTTTATAAGAAAATTTATTTTTGAATAACTGAAGGTGTCACCACGTCACCATGTGTCACCAGGTTAATTAACTTCTCTTAAAAATGATGGCAGCATGACATTTAGACAGCAGGACGAAAGGAGGGAGGCATTTATGAATTATTTTTGAATAACTGATGGTGTCACTACGTCACCATGTGTCACCTGGTTAATTAACTTCTCTTAAAAAGTATGACAACATGACATTTTGACATCACAGCAGGATTAATGCAAAAATAAATTCAAATCATACTTTATAAAGCTTCATTTACAGGTATTTCATCGTCAGTAAATGAATCCTCATTATCGTTTGGTTCAACCTGTTTATATAATCCTTTCATTTCTTCTTTCAAAACATAACACCATGTTTGTTTACCATCTATTCTTCTCTGTTTCCTTTCACATTTATCTTTAATGCTCATTTGAAAGTTTTTGTCTTTCATGTCTGATGGTTTGCAGCATAGAGCATTTTTACACGTCATACCTGCACACAATTCATCATAATGTGTATTTATCCATTCATCTAAAGGATTTGTTGATAATTCAATTAAATCTTGTTTGGCTTCAGTCATCGGTATAATTCGTACATTAAATGATGAAAGGTCATATTGCATAAAATACGTCAGTAAATTATCATAAAATTCCTTAGTGCATGAATCCATTAAATTCTTGAAGTAATCAAATTGACCCTTGAATTTACCATTAACCCTTAAAACTACGTATCTTCTGTCTCCAACTTCAATTTTGACAGGGTAGACGTTATTAGTTACCAAAATGAAATTGGCAACATTCTGAGCAGTTCTTCTGGGTTGATTCTTTTCATTAATTCTTATTTGATTATCCGTAATAATTGATTTCAAAACGTACGAAGTATTGGCAATAGAGCATTTGCCTTGTGCTCACAACTTACATTTATCAACTTAAAAAATTGCGAAAATTTAAATGAAGGAGCCTTCAGAAGATGCACATCAATATTGAATATAACTCTGAGCAATTCGATCACTACAATACATTCGTTCTGCTTTTCCAATTGCCAAAAAATATCTCGAATTAATTTACCAAAAACAGTAAAAATTATTGGCGAATCAGCATTTGAACAGTGCGAACAACTACTATACATCAATATCTCCAATGTCAAACAAATAGGAACACAAGCATTCACTCAATGTCACTCATTACATTCGATTCATTTATCAGACGGAGTTTCAATTGGTGATTCATGTTTCTACGGCTGCGAGTCACTTGAAACAGTCTATTTCGAAGGCAGTTTCATTGGAGGAACAGCAGCATTCATATCATGCCGTTCTTTAACAAACATAAAAGTGAAAAAAATCAAAAATCATTCCGAAACAATTTTGTTGTAACTGCAATTCCCTGAAAATTTTTGTTTTCCCAAGTGAATGCACAGAAATAGGAGACTTGGCTTTCTCTTACACTGCTTTGAGAGAATTGAATTTGCCAGTGTCACTTTTATCTCTTGGTCACAAATCATTTGAATACAATTCACATTTTTTGGAGATTGTTTTTCCTAAATCACTAAATAAAATTGGACAAGGATGCTTCAGTCATTGCATCAAATTAGAAAAAGTTGTATTTGACGATAGCTGTCAAATTGACACTTTTGCGTCAGAAATTTTTGAAAAATGCAAAAATTTGAAAAAAAATTTCCCTAAAACACTGAAAATCATAAATAATTCATGTTTTAGAGAGTGCAGACAAATCAAGAAAATTGAATTGAATATTGAAATTATCAATCATTTGTCATTCGCGAATTGTTCTTCTCTTTCGGAAATATCTCTTGGAAATAAGTTGAAAAAACTAAGTCATTCAGCTTTCATCGGATTGTCTAATTTAAAAAAAATAACAATCAACAACAATCAGTACAAAGTTGAAAACAAAATTATTTTTGATACTAAAGAAAACACTATTTTCAGTGTTCCTTGTAATTTCGACAAAACAATATTTATTGTTCCAAATAATATAAATAAAATTGGAAATTATTGTTTTTACAATAATCGCAATATCAATAAAATTGTTTTGCACAACGAAATCATTAGTTTTGGAAGTAATTGTTTCCAATTTTCTGGGATTTGTGAAATCGAAATTCCTCAGTCTGTTTCGGAAATTGGAAATTTCTGTTTTTCATTTACTAAATTCTCTAAAATCGTACTCCCTAACAAATATATTAAATACGGAGATGGCGTTTTCTCACATTCGAATTTAAGTTATTTAGTTATTCCAGGAGAAATTGATGTTATCAGTTGTCACTTTTTATCAAATTCTGTCAATTTACAAAATGTCAAAATTTTAGAAGGTATCACACGGATAGAGAAATTTGCATTTTTCGGATGTACTAGTTTGCAAAGTGTTTCATTCCCAATGAGTTTGTCAGTCATTGGAATCGAATCATTCAGTAATTGCAACAAATTAACACAAGCAGTTTTTTACGGAAAAATTTCACTTTTCAACAGAAATGTCTTTTTTGGATGCAACTCTCTTTCTTTCTTAGTTTTTGCAGATGACATTGACAAGATATATCCACAGTCATTCTCCTCTTCACTCGAGAAACTCTCTTATTGTGGTCATAAACCAATTGACAATGCAACATTTTATTTCCGCGGCCAGACAAAAATTTCAGTGACAAGAAACTACAGATCGAACAAAAATACTATTGGAAAGCATGAAATCGCTTTTGAGAGATGTCCAGTGAGTAAATCATTATTGATGTTAAGTCTGAAAGCTCAGATTTGTATTGTTATCTTATTGACATCAGCAACAATTTTCATCATTTACAAGTTATTTTCTAATGGACTTTCAGTTTTCTCTAAAAGAAAGAACTATTCACAACTCGATGAACCTCACATCCAAGACTCTGCTTAATAAAACAACTGTATGTATTATATAACTTTTTTTTAATGGCTTACATAAGCTAATACACATTTTGTTTCTTTTTGCAGCATTTTGAAAAGCAAACTTAGTAATATTCTATAATTCTTTGTTACATCCTAAAAACTGATGTTATATAGGGGAATAATTCTTTGTAATGATATTATAACAATTGAAAATTGCTATATATTTGGAAATGATTGTCCTGAGTTCTAGCTTTGAGAACGTATTGAAATTCGGTCATGTGGACATCGCAAAAATATCAACAATGTCATTTAATGCTCAAATGCATAAAAAATTACTTTATTGATTTTTTCTCAAATAAAAGTAATAAAGTGTCACTTTTTGTAATATTGTTGTAATTGTATACAATATGTCAAAATTTTTGAATTCGTCATTTTAATAAAAAATCTTAATTCATTGGCGTACCGTCATTCACTTTTTTTTGAATAGTTTACATGAATTTTGATGTTATTTTTTATTATTAGATATCAAATGTTCCATTTGATGTATGGCATTATTTTTATAATGAAAATCATTTGTCTCGTCCTATCAAGTGCAGCAACTGCACAATTTCCATTTCTCAAAAAGAAAGTTTTGTCTTACTCAGCTTCTTTTACGACTTCAAAAATAGTGCAATCAAATATACATCAAACGATATCAAAGTATTACATTCGAAATGCAACTTCAATAACAACACAAGTACATCGAATGGCGGCAGTGTCTATTTTAACTGCAAAAGCTCATTTGTTCAATACAAAATTTGCTCATTATCTTCACAAACAACTATAAGTGATTCATCTGGAGGTCATCACTCCTTTTCCAATTGTAGAGACTCAAACAATTTAAATTTTATCTATGATTCTTCGATTTATCTTTGCGGTAATGACAAAACTCGAAAAACCGTTGTAGAATTTTATGGAAATACTTCCATTCGATCAACAAATTTCAGTAAATGTACAGCAGAATATCAATCTTCCTATTGTCTTTATCCATCAACAGAAGCATCTGTTTCATTTTGTACAATGGAAAACTCAACATGCAAACAATCCGAAGTATTAGGTCATTTTAATTATAAAATGCATTATCTTTCTTATTGTAACATTTTGAACAATGAAGTAGCAGGTAAAGATCAAGGAATAATAAGTTGTAATGGAATTATTACAATTGAAAACTGTTCTATATTTGGAAATAAAGGTCCATCAGAATTTAGAGTTTTTTACAAATGGGGATCACCATCAGCATCAATTACAGTAAAAAATTGTAATGTTCAGAGTTCCCCATCTATTCCAAATGATATTTCTACTGATAATATCAAAATTGAAGAAATTTATTTAAATCTAACTCTTTTTTCTGCTTCTCATTGCGATGAACGAATCTACATAGAGATTTATAATGAAACATTCGATCATGATTATATTAAATTAATTCGATTCTTGGCAGCCACTTTGTCTTCTTGTTTGTGGACTGATTGCTTGGCAACTGATGAAGATATTCCTCGGGTTTCACCTTCATAAAATCCCAAAATCGTGAATTTTAGACATTTCTGAGATTAAAAAAATCGATCGTGTTTTTGATTTAATTATCTGCTTCAAGTTAATTCTCTGAGTGAAAAGTTTTATTTAATCGACATCCTTAAGTATTAAGTTTAGATAGATCTTCCTGAATGAAGTTATTGCATGTATTGCCAAATTTAAAAAGTTCGATTATGTTTTAATTGGCTTGATCTTCTTTATGTATGAAATTATGTTAATACTCTTTTTCATTTGCCAAAAAGAGTAATATTCGTTGAAAAAACAAGTGTCTGATCAATGAGAGTGGCAATAATATATCAAGAGTTACTATACTAAATAGATTGAAATTCAAAATTTCAACCCATAATATTTATTTCACTTTTCAAAATACGAATCAATTGGAGATGTATACTTTGTTTATTCGAATTGGAAAAATGTATCTTCCCGCTCGATGCTGAAAACTGCGTAGTTAAGACCTTCAATAACCGATTCGATGTTAACATTGGTATCAATAATTTTGCTGTTTTTGTTATTATTGTTTGATTTAACTATGATGACTTTTTTACCTGTGAAGACAGCAACACGCAAAATAAGGAAATTCTCAGTGTAAATATGGATTTCGACAAAATATGTTTCTGGTTGCATGAAAATGACATTAGACAAATACGAATTGTGAACACTGACAAGTAACTTGATAGTGTTGAAATACTTGATAGAATCTAAAAATCGATGATGAACAATTCCAACTTCGAAACTGAAATTGCGAAATCGATTTGAAATTTCGTTGAAAAGTTCTTCGAAATTAGAAATATGTTGTTTAGATCCTATTTTACTGTTCATGATCACATGTCGTGAAGGAGGAAATTTGTCAAGTGAAAAAATGTTGCAAAGTCGATCTCGATATGCCAAAAGTGTGGAATAATCTGGAAAATAACAAGGATTACCATAAACGGTAAAGAGATTGTGCGAATAAAAGTAAAGATCTTCACCATATATGATTTGGCTTCGATTAAAACCTAATATAGGGTGTCCAAAGGTGTGTTTAGCACAAACCTGAATACTAGTCATGTGATTTTATCCCAAGCATATGGGGATTCTAAATTTTTGTCCCTATCGTTATCCCAATTGAATTTTTTTTTGGAATTTAAAATTTTTTTCTCCATGTAAACTTAAATTTTAATTTTTACCACTAAAATGCAATATTTCAACAAATTAATGAGTAATAATATTTTAATTTATAATAAATATTATAAATCTCCTCAATTTAATGTAATTATTGTATTAATTTTTGTTGAAAATATAAAATCTTCAAGTAAATGATGTGAATTTAATATTTTTAGAATGTTGTTTAATTGTACTATATTATGCATGTAAAATTTTGTTACAATACATTTTATATGGGATCCCCATTGCCCAATTGAGAGAAAATTGAGAGGTGGGATTGGGCTAGCCCAATTCAAAATATCCCAGGTGGAAATAAAAAAATTAACAATTCAACATAAAAAAGCATCTTAAATAATAATGATAAAAAGAAATTTTGTATGAATTTCAATCAAATTTGTTTTTATTCAACTTAAGAAATCACTTCATTAATGAAAGAAGTCGGGTTCACAACATATCCCGATCTTGAAACGAAACAACATGTTTTTTTGATGCCCTAAACGGGGGGTCGCCAGCAAAAAAAAAGATGTCAAAATTTATCCCAAAAATTTTAAAAAAATCGAAGAAAGTGCATCCCATGGATTATAAAATTTAAGTTTTCACATCTCTACTGAATACTGCGAATAGAAATAAACAAGTTACATATATATAACGTTTATTTAAATATAATCACCATTGGATTCAATCACGCGTTCGCAGCGATCGATCCAGGCTTGAAAGACACGCTTTAAATCATCATGAGAAAATTGCTCAAATTGCTCTCTTACAAAATTTTCAAGATCATCTGGACTCGCGAATTCGCGTCCTTCAGCTCTCTTTTTTAGCGTGCCGAATAAATAAAAGTCAGAGGGTGCAATATCAGGTGAATAAATTGGGTTTGGAACAACTTTGACATTGTTTTCCACCAAGTAATTCATTACCTTATGACTTTTGTGAACTCTTGAATTATCAAAATGAATTGCAAACTTTTGTTTTTGTTGTTTGGATTTCTCAAACTCATCAGAATTGATAATTTGAGTAAGAACATTGTCAATTAGATACTGAGCATTCATCGTATTAGGTTTTTGAAGAATATCAATTGCGATGATGCCATTCACGCCCCAAAAAACCGACAACATCATCATTGGTGTGTCAATTTTTTTCTTCGGGAATGTTTGCGGATTTTCATCCTTCGGGATCCACATGATTTTGGCTTCTGTTGCATATTGAAACCAAGACTCGTCCCCTGTTACTAAAAAGCGAAACTTCTTGGATTGATACGCACCCAATATAGAGAGGAGCTCTTTCGAAGATTGGACTCTAGATTTTTTTTGAACTGAATTAAGGTTGTGCGGAACCCAACGTGTATACGCTAGTTTATAGTTCAAATAATTGTGCAGATAATAACTGACTGCTGTACGTGGTATCTTTGTCATCTCCTCTATCCTTCTGAGTGATGCTCTTGGGTCTTCATCTAGCGCTTGAAGAATTGCTTTGATTTTTCTTTGATCCGGCGATTTTTTGTCAATTTTTATGATGGGCGCCTTTTTGTTCATGAAGTGATACATCCTAACATGATACGTTACAGTGGAATAGCTAGGAGCATCCATACCGAAGCATTTTACCAATGTCTAGTAGATTTTTTTACAGTCTTTGCATTTTTTTGCAAGAGCGAGGATGTTTTCTTTATGATTCATTAAAAAAATGAAAAAAATCCCGCCAAAATTTCCCGCGAAACCGCCTCTTGTCTCAAAATTCATTTTATATCCTGGCATGGCGCCAAAATACAACATACTCATCATATACATATATTCATATTTTTTATTATATATTTATAATCAGCATATATCTCCTTTAATAGTCTCATATAGAGCGCTGTGCTAAACGCACCTTTGGACACCCTATATCTTCAAACTGTCAAAAATGAATTGATTGAAGTCACGAACTGCAATGAAACTATCTTCAATGATAGATTCAGGAAGAGCAAAAAATAATGGGAATGTTTCTGTAAACCAATGGTCATAATGATTTGATATTTCATGACCAATTAAAATAACTTTATCGTAAATGTTGTATTTGATGTCGAGGACAGAATGGTTCTTATTGTTATAATTGATGAAACTTGGTCTGCAGTGATCATCGAGGATATATATTGTGTTGTTGATGTAAAAAGAAAGGTCTGTTCTGCAAATGACATCTTTGTATTGCAGAATTAGTACGGATTGATCTAAGTTGCCGTAATTAGTATTTACTTTGGCATCCGGCATGAAAATAGGGTAGTAAGATTGGATTGGAGATACACGACATCGAAATCGATATAAACTGTAGTAACATGGATTTATAGTTGCAACAACTAATTTAGGATTTAATAATCTTGTAAAATTTGTGAATTTTGTGTGTGGGGGACAAACTCGCCCATTGTCACTTTTCATTAACCTTAAACTTGTAATTTTCATTATTTTAATTAACCTTATTTCTTTCCCAATTCCTGATTTATTTTATTCACTTACTATTAAAAGTCACATTTTAATAAAATATAATAATTTATTTATAGCATTTTTTACTATACTGTAATAAAAAATTAATTATAATAAATTAAATGTTTATTAAATCAAATGTTTTCTTTGCAATAATATTTTTAATGTTGAGTAAACAATGTTGGGATCAAGTGTATCATTTTTCAGACCTTTCTGAACAGCTTCAAGCATACTGATGCATTCGACTTTTTTAAATTGTGTCATTTCTTCGAAATCTCTTGTGACTTTTTTGATAACTTTAACACTTCTCTCTGAATCCAGACCTTTAATTTGCAACTTAATCAGGAATGAAGGAACAACACTGGAATATAACTCGATGACAAGTTCATCGAGTCGAAGATTTTGCCTTTCTGGGAAGTACTGGTGCTTCAAAATCTTGAAATGTGATTCCGAGATGTTGTTTGTTCCATCTCCTTCATTTCTATAGCGAAGCATCCACCTGTCAAGATGATGGCGCCACTGTCGGTCAAAGTATTCACGGGCAGCAGGTTCCTCATTTAAAATTTCTTCTAAATTGTTGTAAACTTCATCAGGATCAATTTCTTCCTCTTCAGAACCAAAGACCAATAACTTCATTAAGTTATAGAAAGTTTCGAAGTTGGAACGATCTTGAAACTTTTCAGCCTTTCTCATGACAGCGCGCAACACATGACGCCACACCAAATGATCTGGCATAAGGGGATGGCTGTTTCAACAGCATTTGTGATTTGAGGTGCGCAGTCCATTGAAAAATAAGATGGTTCGCGATTGATGGAGCCAAAATATGCTGTGAGACAAACTTGTATATTTTCACTTGTGTCGGGCCAAACAAAAAAATACAAAAACGGAAAAACAATTGATTCTGCGAATTTGCCAGTGACGGCATAAAATGGTATGCGAGAGCGCAAGAGCTTATAAGTGGAATCAATGTGATAAGTTTGTATTTGATGTGAAAAAACATTTGCTTCGAATGGGGCGTAATAGAAAATCATACGATCTGGCTTGTGAATAAACTCGATGAGATCAACGGGAGAATGACTCTTAACCATGTCGACAAAAATTGCAAGAGATGTAACATCATCCGCTGAGAAACGGGTATTGATTGCATGAAGGCGTTTAGAAAACTTTTTTAAAGCATCTGTAGATTGTTGAAACATTTCCGGAATGATCCCACTATCAAATGGGATATTAAGATCTTTGAAACACCTTAATTGTGCGTAAACACGGTCTTGATTTGATTCAAAATATCTTGTTAAATAAGATCTATAAAAATATGATGTAATTTGTTGTGATTTGTTTGGAAAAGGGGCAGAATGATTGTGGGTGTTAATACATTTTCGTATGTGGTACTTGTCATCGGGAAGTGTATCAACAAGGAAGCGACATGGACAATTCGGCCACTTACAATTAAATTGGATTTGATTTCGTTCTTTCCTAGTTTTATATGAATAACTACAACCTGCTTGGATTTCTTGTTGCACTCCATACTTAAGCAACTCGATATATGTGAGTTCGTGATCTTGGATCTGCATTAAAATGAAATGATTTGAAAGAATAAAGAATTTTGAATATATTGGTCTTATTTTGATAAGCTTGGTCGTGTTTTGAATAGCTTGGCCATCTAATTCAATTATGATCTTTGAAAATTAGGTGAAATAAAACTAAACATAAATGTAAAACTAGGGATATGAAATTTTGGTTGTACACCACTTGTATGTGCCGGATATCATTGTGTCAAATTTTTTCTGAAATTAACTTTAAAAGTACTAAGTAAGATCATGAGATATAGCAATATATGTTTAAACCAACTTATATTTTGGTTGTACACCACTTGTATGTGCCGGATACCATTGTGTCAAATTTTTTCTGAAATTAACTTTAAAAGTACTAAGTAAGATCATGAGATATAGCAATATATGTTTAAACCAACTTATATTTTGGTTGTACACCACTTGTATGTGCCGGATACCATTGTGTCAAATTTTTTCTGAAATTAACTTTAAAAGTACTAAGTAAGATCATGAGATATAGCAATATATGTTTAAACCAACTTATATTTTGGTTGTACACCACTTGTATGTGCCGGATACCATTGTGTCAAATTTTTTCTGAAATTAACTTTAAAAGTACTAAGTAAGATCATGAGATATAGCAATATATGTTTAAACCAACTTATATTTTGGTTGTACACCACTTGTATGTGCCGGATACCATTGTGTCAAATTTTTTCTGAAATTAACTTTAAAAGTACTAAGTAAGATCATGAGATATAGCAATATATGTTTAAACCAACTTATATTTTGGTTGTACACCACTTGTATGTGCCGGATACCATTGTGTCAAATTTTTTCTGAAATTAACTTTAAAAGTACTAAGTAAGATCATGAGATATAGCAATATATGTTTAAACCAACTTATATTTTGGTTGTACACCACTTGTATGTGCCGGATACCATTGTGTCAAATTTTTTCTGAAATTAACTTTAAAAGTACTAAGTAAGATCATGAGATATAGCAATATATGTTTAAACCAACTTATATTTTGGTTGTACACCACTTGTATGTGCCGGATACCATTGTGTCAAATTTTTTCTGAAATTAACTTTAAAAGTACTAAGTAAGATCATGAGATATAGCAATATATGTTTAAACCAACTTATATTTTGGTTGTACACCACTTGTATGTGCCGGATACCATTGTGTCAAATTTTTTCTGAAATTAACTTTAAAAGTACTAAGTAAGATCATGAGATATAGCAATATATGTTTAAACCAACTTATATTTTGGTTGTACACCACTTGTATGTGCCGGATACCATTGTGTCAAATTTTTTCTGAAATTAACTTTAAAAGTACTAAGTAAGATCATTTATTTTTGCATAATATAATGCCAATATGGTTTCTTTTGATTTTATTTCATTTATAAGCAAATCAGATTTACCCAAAAACTCCACTCCATAAGCGTTCATTTGCTAAATTAAAAAGTGACAATGGGCTAGTCTGTCCCTTTCTCGAATTTTGTTTTGATAACAGTTGGATTTGAAGAAATACGTAAAAATGAGACAATCATTAATGGTGCTGATGATCCTAATAGCAATAAGATTGTTTTTATCGAGAAATATTTTATCTTTGTGATAAAATAATGATGAGGATTTTCAATTTTGACAGAAAAACTGACCCTTTTTTGAATGGTTTACAAAAATCTTTGATGCGTGGAATTATTTTTACACTGAGAACAATCAACCAAGTCTTATCAAATGCACAAATTGCACAATATCTGCCTCGCAACAAGATTATTTTGTCTTTCTCAGCTTGTTTTATGACTTCAAAAGCGGTGCAATCAAATATTCCTCTGACAATATCAAAGTATTACATTCGGAATGCAACTTTAATAACAACACAAGTACATCGCAAGGTAGCAGTGTTTATTTTAAGTGCAGCAGTTCTTTTGTCCAATACAAAATTTGTTCATTATCTTCACAAACAACTACAAGTGATTTCTATGGAGGTCATCACTCATATTCCAATTGCATAAACTCAAACAAATTAAACTTAATTTATCATTCATCAATTTGTCTTTGTGGAAATGAAATATCTAAGAGAACAATATCTGCAAACAATGGAAATCTTTCTATTCGATCAACAAATATTAGTAAATGTATAGCATCGCATTGTTCAGGATACGCACTTTATCCATCATCAGAAGCATCAGTTTCATTTTGTACAATTGAAAATACAACAGCCAAACCTAGTTATGATGTATTAGGAAATTATCTTAATACACATTTTGTTTCTTTTTGCAACATTTTGAAAAACAAACAGAGTGATAAATCTAGGGGAATAATTTTTTGTAATGGAGATAAAATAACAATTGAAAACTGTTCTATATTTGGAAATGACTGTCCAGAAGGATCTAATCTTTTTAACAAAGTTGCATCATCATTTACACTTAAAAATTGTTATGTTCAGAGTACTCCATCTATTCCAAATGGAATTACTACTGAAAATATCAAAACAGAAGAAAAATATTTAAATTTATCTCATTTATCTACATCTAAATGCGAAGCTCTAATTCCTATAATTAATAATGATGAAAATAAAATAATAAACATAGAAGATGACACATTTGATCCAGAATATATTAAATTTATTCGATCTTTAGTTGTTCCTTTATCTTCTGCTAATGAAGATTCGTCTTAGTTTATTTTAATAAAATAATAAAGTTTGTGGATTACAAAATCAATCCGCAAACTTGAATTTTGTTTATAAAATTTAATTTAACTTTTTTACTATATAAAAGATAAAATACAAATATAATATGTCGTTAATTACCATGAAGTTCCTTAAGAGTTGCTTCTAAATCGCATTTGTTTGACAAGAAAGTTTTCATAGACTTATCTTTGTCTAATTTAAGAGCCATGACTTTCTCGAAGTCTTCTCTTTGCTTTGTAGATAATGATATAAGTGCTGCATCGAATGTTTCTCCGATTTCGATTGGGAAATTACACTGAACGCCTGCAATGAGAAATGGTGCAAAGTGCATAGGTGTACGTGTAAGTGCACAGCCAAAATGGTCGTATGCGTATGCTTCAACAATTGGCATTAAGTTGTTATTTGAACTCAAAACACGAACAAATTCGGATGTAGCTTCTGGGTAATCCCAAAATGATGTATTGTACACATTATCAAGTTTAAGAAGTTCAATCGCGTTTTTAATTGTTTTATCTTCTTCGAGTGTTAATTCTCTGAATGAAAATGTTGGATTTGATGGGCCTCCTAACTCAGCACTGAGTTTAAACGTCTCTTCTGGATTTGGAGGTATATCTAAGTGAAAACTGACGATTTTTGATTTTTTAGGTTGTTTTGGTTTCGGAATTTCAACTTTTTCGTTTTGTTTTATGACTACAAATATTGTTGACTCTGGTTGAATCTTCTCAAGAGGCTTTGGATCTGTAAGAATCTGACCATTGTAAACAAATTTATAATTTCCAACAGGGAAATTGTGTTTTGACATCAAAACTATCTTTATTTCCTCTGCGGTAGCATCACTCCCAATTTCAACACCAACTGGTTCATCATTCAACTGTCGAAAGAAATACATTTAGAATTTTGACACTTTACATTTTTGCCACGTAAATTATTGTATTTCTTCTGATGTTTTCACCTTAAAAAGCAAATTTTCTAAATTTTTAACAGCATGAATGCATTCTTTTATGTCAATAAAATTAAAATGTGTATTAATGCTTTTACAAAGGCATAAAATTTCAAACTTTATTGATGAAATTTAAATGTTTTGTTTTGTTATTAAGTATTAACATAATTGATTAAGATTATTAGTGTTTGGATCAATTAAATCAAACAATAAAATATTTTTTAATAATTATTTTTTATTAAAACAAAATAAATAACAAAACAAATATATTATTATTCCTTCTTATCAACTAAATCTATAACATAAGCAGTAAACAATCCTTCCTTACCTTTTAGTTTCAATCCATGTCTTTCTCTTATTTTGAAAGCGTCTTTTGGAAGTCCAAGAGTTGTTTCGTAGTTCATTTGCATTGTGTTTGGATCAGCACTTGTTTCAAGTCTTGCAGCAACATTTACAGCATCTCCCCACACGTCGAAGAAAGGTTTATCAGTACCCAAAACACCCGAAATGATTGGACCTCCAGTATTTATTCCAATGACTAAACTCATTGAGTTTTGTTGGAAGAACTGCTGCTCCAAAATTTTTTTCCTCCTTCATAAGCAAATTGCACAGCCTCATGTTCCAATGTCTTATCGGTAACTTCATTAAACAAACCAGCAGCAGCCATATAAACACCGTTAATTGTCTTAATCTTCGTCAATGTTGGGAATTGTGTCAATGTTGAATCCAACAAAGTCGAAATTATTTCAAGTCTTTCCATGATTTCAGTATGCGACTGTTTATTACACCAGGACACGAAATTCGTGATACCAATGAAAATAACAGTTGCTTTATCAACTCTTGAGATCAACTGATCTTCTTTTCTTCTGTTTTGCGAAGCATTTATACTCGAAGCATCCGTAGAATCAAATCTAACACTTCTATGTCTTGTTCTCGTCATCAAACATGGGAATTGGTCGCTGCTTATTGCTCTTTCCCTTTGTTCAGACTTCGAAATCAATCTCATAGCTATAATTGGCGGCAAAATATCATTCAACAATTTAGAAATTTTCTGTCTTGCTTCTAAATATCTTTGTTCTTTCTGTGAATATTCAGAACAGTCATTCATGATGAATCCGAAGCACATTGATCTATCCCAAACTTCAACACTCGTCAAGTTAACGACAGTCACGAAAACAGGAGTAATTCTCGCATCATCAGATCTCACAAGTAAATTAAAAACATTGTCTTTCGAAGCGGAAACACCGCTTGTATCAATCAATCTTTTGATATAATTCTTCATTGCGTAATAACCATCTCTAAATATATCATTTTTACTTGGTTTGACAATGAATGATCTCATGTTTGATTGAATGATGTTCATTTTCTTTCTCTTCAAAAGTTGGCAGCCACTTGCATTCACATCTTGTATCACGAAATCGCTGTTCAAAAGGAAAACAGATGATGTTGTCGTAGTAAAGATCTTCCTGGAAATTTCTTGGTCATCATTTGTGTTTCTGTTGATTGTCAATGATTTGACAGGATTCAATAGTTCATTCAATTTTGTGAGCATTGACAAATCTTTTTCTTGCAAGAGCATCAGAATTGATTTGTAAGCTACGTCTTCATCGTAAATTACGTAGCTTCTGTACAAACCAAGACAAATGAAAGAGAAAACAGACAAAAACAAAAGAACACTCAATACAATTTTGATGACATATACTTTGTGAAGTGTTCTGTTGAAAGAATCAGTTGAATTCTCGTAATAATCGTATATAGAATTTGACAAATTTGAATAAACATATTCTGTCAAATTCAACAAATTTTCTTTGTCAACTTCCTGATTTGTAATTGAAATTGTTTCGTTGATTAATTCTTTTATTGTGTTAATCAATTTATAAATATCCGCTGTGTTCGTGTACAAATCAGTTCCTTTAGTGTCTGTCAACACTTCAAATGAAAAATTGGATAAAAGAATCTGTTGTGTTGTAATCATCGTTTCCATGTCACTTTTTGTATCGTTATCGGTAACCGTAAAATTCAAAGCAGCGTACAAAGTTATTAATTGCATGCAGTGTGTTGTAGCACTGACAAGATCACTTGTATCGTCTAATAAATAACTTGTTGCTCTGAGGAATTCGATAATTGTGTAAGGGTACCCGATAAAAACGATTAAAGACCCTAAAATAGCCAAGAACGCGTAGACTGATAAATTTACGTTGGAAAGAGGGGATCCCAAGCAGAACTTGATGTTTGAGACATCGTCAACTTCATTGATTGGGTCGAATTTCGTTCTTTGAGTTGTTTCTGTGGAATTTGACGTATTACTTCCAGAACTTTCGATTTCGTCACTGCCAAGAAGGTTGTCTGAGTCTGTGCTCGATGTAAGAAGGTTATGTTCCTGTACAAGGTTCTCGCCATTCATCAATGACGATCGCATTTGGGTTAATTTCTTGACATCTATGGATAATAACGCTTCCCAATAATAAGTCATCTCTTTCTTTCGTCTGAAAACTAAAAATACCATACATATTATAATTTCAATTAAAATAACCGCCAACGATATAATGTAAAATTGAAAGGTCACAATTTTTCTTTTTTCCATTGAATTTACAATGTCAGGAATTTGGTTCAGTAAAATTGGGATTGTGAACGTCAGAACATTGTATCTTTCAAGGAAATTGTTGATAATTCGGCTGTTATTTTCATACAAAGATGTCTCGAAGTTTTGGCCGGCATCAAACTTCGCGTATTCGAATCTAATCGTTAGATTTGAAAAATTTTTGATCGCAGTTTGGTCCCAGTAGCCTAAAACGTTATCTGCTATATCTCTTCTGATGTCTTGAAGTGTAACATCAATGGAATTTATCAATTCGAACGTTTGGTACTTTAATAAATCTTCCATCTTCAAATTTCGTATGGAAACATTGAACGGTTCGTAATAAGAGTCTTGCGAAGCCATTGTAGATGCTAATAACTTCGATATTTCTGCTTGCGGTTTGAAAGAAATGAGAGATAACAGAGTAAATAAGTTAACAAAGTCTGAATTCATGATTGGATTGATGGAATCTGGGTAAAGGCTAATTATTAATAAAATTAATAACGAAATGGCCATAATTATTAATGTAGTCATCAATCCCCAGAAAGATAAAGAAGAAATTGTCTTCAAAATCGAATAAAGACCTTCTGCTTTGGTTGTATCTAGTTTGGAATGCCTCTTAGATAGCTTTTCAACCTTCGTTTGCAATTCTGAGTTTGGATTATTTAAAGAATTTCCATATTCTCGCCATCTCATCGCTAAATCTGCTCTGTGAAGTATGTCTTCGTAATATTTGGAGATCAGCATTGAGATGTGATAGCTATCTGGTGTCTGAAGAAGCTTTGAAAACGCATGATCTTCGAAATTGTGTCTTTCGGTGTTAAATTTGTGCAAAATCTCACGCAAATGTGTTTGTGTGTCTGTACAGATGGAATCTATAATGCCAAATAAAGCGACTCTGATTTGATACAAATCATTTTTCAAATCATTGATTGTTCCTTCATCCAGTTTATCGTATTGGTCGAGAAAAGTGACTTCTTTCTTCATGTCATACAACATTTGTCTGTGAGAAAAAGGAACTTTCTTTAAAGGCAAATCTAACAAATCTTGGTGGTTAAACATGTCTTGTCTATGGATAAGTAGGAGGCATCTGTAAGACTCCAGCTTGACCTTTATGTTTTCGGAGTACAAAATGCAGAATTTGGCAAATTCGGCCGTTTTTGGTTCCAATGTAAACATCATTCTTCGTAAAACACGAATTGTTTTCTTTGAATTGGCCAGATCATATGAGAAATAGGTTGGTTCGTCTAAATCTAGGTCAGAAAGCTCTTCCATTGCGTCATTTTTACTTTTATACAGAATTGAGGCATCGAAATTCTCAGTTGCATAACATACTTTTGATGTAATTGCCAAACTGCTTAAGTATGATATGAAAAGAAGCATGAAAGCCGCAATTACGAGATCTGTAGACGTATTCAACTGAAAAATGTTGTAAATAAGGAAGAAAACGTTGTATAAGAATCCGTATAATGAAGATGTGAAGACAAATGCTGTGAAAAGCTGAGAAACGTATGGGCTTGAAATTAATATGATAAATTGGTATATTTCACCCAAAATAATGAATGATGACATAATGATAAACGCTTTTCGATCGTATTTTGGATACAAAAGTTGTAATTGCATCGAGCATGAAACGTAAATGACAGAAAAGAACGATGGATATGTATCAAGACCACGGCATGGCATATCCTGGACGTAAATAGTATTTGATGATGAATGTGTATCAAACCAATATAAGAATAAAAACATTAATAAGGCTAATCCGCAAAAAATGCTTCCTGCGTAATCGATTTGTTTATCGTATATCAAAAGATGCATTTCTTGTTCGAAATTTCCTGCTGTAACAAGCAAAAATATCGGTGATGAACTTTCGATTATTAAACGAACAGCGTAGGATACTTTTTTATGTAATAAGAGGGATGTTCTGAATATAAGTACGTAGAAAAATATTGATATTTCGAAAAAGGCGATTGAAAATAATATATATGAATAAGATTTCGGCGGAAGAAACATTCTTGCTAGAAAAAACTCTGCACACGCTTTCAGAACTGTGGTTGCTCCTGATTTATCGTTCATTGGATAAAAGCAGCCCCAGTTATACGTTGCAAACATTATAATTAGAAGGACACCTCTGAAGAAATGTATGAGTTTGGGGAGCTTCTCTGAAGAGTTGTACGCGTTGCTTGATTTATACAAATCAAAACAACGCGATTCCTCCCCAAATACAGGTTCAGACATCAACTTCTAAAAAAAATTGTGGAATTGAATTTGAAAATAAAAATTTTATATTTTTTATATTTCAGCTGAGAAATATTTGCTGCGAAACTGTGCTTGATTGAAATTTCAGAAAAATTCGAAAAGTGACTGAAAA